TAATGAATCAACATAATAAAATTTAAGTAATTAATGAGGCAAACTTTTTCATTGACATTTCAAGTTTTACCATCATTTTTTTATTTAAAGCATATGTCATTAGATTCAAATATATCTTGTTGACAAAAGAATCAATTTTTCATAAACGAATCGATATCCATATCTCTCTCTGTCATTTCTCAAAACTTCAGAGGAATTTAAATTTCTCCTTAAAGACTTCTTTCGAAATTCGCAAAATCTGAAAATGGACCTAAAAAATATAAATAAAGCGCAAAGAAATAAGGCGCTTATTATGGCGATTTTTTAGGTCCATTTTCAGATTTTGCGAATTTCGAAAGAAGTCTTTGAGGGGAAATTTAAATTCCTCTGAAGTTTTGAGAAATGATAAAGAGAGATATGGATATCGATTCGTTTAAAAATTGACTCTTTAAAAAATACGTGAGAAAATACGATCGGGCATTTATCTTGCCAATTTTAATGAGTCGATTTAAACAGATCGATCGTATTAAATCACGCCGGTATACAGTCGCGATCGCAAACGATAGCGCACGCGATGTGAGTGAAGGGTACTCTATTCGCTTCGTCTCGCGACCGCGTCGGGTGAAAGGCGATATAACTCGCGAAATATTATATATATGTATATACATTTTTCGTTTCGCTCGCGAACAATTTTCCGCGAAACGGTCCGCGGATTTTTCGCGGCGGCCGCGCTGCCACGTGACACGACGAAGATTATAGCTTACAGTTGTGTCGCGATAATTGCACGGGTTGCTACGACGAATAGGGAACGAGGCCGTAGGAATTATGTTAATTATTGCGTAGCCGAATTGTTCTCCCCAATTATGTTATATAACGGACACGCGACAGATTCCGCCTCTCGTTACGAGTCTATAAACACGGACGTCTCTATAGTAGAATATTAAATGTATTTTCATTTAATGTATTATCAGCAAGCTAAATTACACAGAAAAAAAATAAGTGTCAAAACTTAATAAAACTAACGCGTTCATTGTTTCGCATATACGCAACAATTTATAATCTTCTTAGAAGAATTTAATAATTTTAAATTAATAAATTTATTAATTACTTAATAATAATTTTAAATTTTAACAATATTATAATCTTATTTTAATATTGTAATTGCCACCTCAAGAATATATAATTATTTAATTCTACTTTAAGAAAATTATAATCTTTGATTTAAAAATGTTATTTTCTATCTAACATTGTTTCTTTTCCATTCAAAAAAATTAAATTATAAGAATACATTTTTCTTGATTGTACTATATAAAATGACTTCATTCAAGTGAGCAATTATTCAAGCAATTATATGTTTCTTTAATTAATGCAATCTCATTTCAAGATTTCCATGTTAAAGGTAAATATATTTCCAAAGCAAGAATGTCCTTTTTTGTGTAAGACAACGCGGCATTTTTTTATATGATTTCCTATAAAAAATTTAATTTTATCCTACTTTTTAATTATTTTGTGATTTTATAGTGTAACACTTTCACACGAAATCGTTATGATTTCTCAAAGATTAGCGCATGTTTCGTGAGATACTTTGTACATATAACGCTTAATGCAACATGCTCAAGAGCTTGGACACGAACATTATTTTATAAACATCATAGATTTTATCATGTTAATATTTCGTTGCATAATATAAGTATTATGCGCTTTTATGATACGTATGATAGACATGTACGTACGTCAATGCGCGAGCGAAAAATAGAAAAAATGAATGAAACTACTCAAGGAGGACGTTAATAGTTCACGCATCGCGAGATCGTGGGAAGTGAGATGACAGCGATAATAACGATGATAAGAACGATTACGTTGACAACTATTTCGGGTTTATACGACAGATAGATTATTATATTTATTATAAAAGAAAAACAATTTTAGTGTCATGCGATATTTTAATAGATTAAATATCATAATTCATGCTTTTAATTGAATTTATTTTAATTTTATCTCTCCCTATCATTTTTTTAAATATCGCAAATTAATCTCATCCGCGAGTTGATTCTATTTTTTAATACTCGTGTATCTCGTATATGTGTTTTGTTAAGGAAAAATTTTATCAATTAATCACTGATGGATTATTAATAGAAAATCGCAAGACAGTATTCATCTCGATTCGTGACGTAGAAAGAATGGTTCATTCTTAATAATTACGTTCTTTCGAGGGCCTTGGAAGTGACGGCTGTTGAGAAATCGACCGTAGAGGTAATCTTTAGACCGCAGATGTCGAGAAATCGACGATACAAGCGGTTTCTCAAGTGTGTGCAAGTGTTGAAAGATCGGCAGACCATTGTTTTCTCACGGCCAGTTGTTCCGACACCGTTTAGCGTTCTGGCAATTTAATTTTCGTTCTCCGTTCGCATATTATAAACAAATATTACATAGCAACATTAATTATTCCGTACCATCAAGAGCTTGAAACAAATTTAGTTCGCTAAAATATCACGATATAATTGATGCAAATCTCATGGGGGACACGCGAAAATTTCGCTCTACTATTCTTATTACTCAGTTATTATTTTCCCTATATTACCGTTATAATTGTTACACATCGCGTAAAAAGTTGAACCCTTCGTATAATGTACACAGAGAAAAATACTTTCTACTGCCAAGAAAAGCAATTACTCAGTTTATTTTTCTTTTTTTAAGTAATAGTTTTCTTCAACAAAGAGGATATATTCTTGATAGTCTTAAAATATACTCATCACAAGTGTTGGAAAATCTCATCATCATGTATTCGAAAGAAGAATTTATTTTCTCTTCAAGAATATTATAAAGTTGTATCAAAGAAAAATCAAACTTACTTTACGCCAACTCTAAGCAAACCAAATTTTTGTTTAAATTTAATATTCTTGACTAAAATATTGCATTTACTAAAATTCCGAATATATTCAATTAAATTTAATGCTTGTGATGAATTTATGATATATTTGCGGATATACAAACTTATGATATATTTAAAATAAATAATATTTACTTGAATACAGTATACATTTTTCTCTGTGTGGTGTTTTCCGACTCAAGATTTACTCCTTTCTCCGCCCACTTCTTTAATATTTACACAGTTATCGCGAAGGCGCAGATAGGTAGATGATTCTAACATCCTGAATGCATGAAACACGCGGAGGCGGCAAGATAATCTTACGCGTATCTGTCTTCTTTGTGTGTATCGAGACGCAAAATCCTCGGTCCTTTATCTCGTCGCTCTTATCGTCGCCTGGAAAAGTGAGAAATTCCTATCTACCGTACCAGAAGCGCTCGAAAAAAATAAAATAAATAAAAAGACGGATGAGGAAAATCACGAACCTGATGATTTACGAGAAGAGTGACACATCCCTCGACACATGAAACATGAAACTAGAGATAAAAGAACGTTGTATAAAGACACGAAAAATGATAAGTAAACGTTTACTTGTGCATGATATCCTATATCATTAAAATCAATTAATTTTCTAATAATTAATTTTCAAAAATTAATTATTATCGCACAATATTCCATAGTATCTCTCGAAATGTGCGTATTATTTTTTATTTTCGAAATTAAAAATGCAATATTTTTAGTTTACATTTCACAGTGTCAGGCTCCCGTACCTATCTTGCATTACGTTATATTTAAAATATCTTATCTTTTTTATCTACGCGACATGTTCATTCGCACGAGGCGGGGGCGTGTGTGTCGACTGGCTGTTTTTTCTGCTCGTGTCAATCGCGGGCACGAGCCGTTCTCGCTCGAGCGGAACACAGGTAGCCGTGATTCGAGAAAGGGCCGAGAAACCGTCGACGCTTTCTCTTCTTTCACATCAAAAGCTGAAGTCGGAATACTTGGGATGCCTATCGTTTTAGAGACGGCCTTCGGACCTGCCGATTCTCAAAAGGGATTCTCCGTTTTCCCCTCCCCAAAAGGCAAAGTCTGGCCTGCTCTGCATTCTTGGTCAAACCGTTTTCAAATCCGTAGTCAAATCCTTTTCTGGAGGCTTTTGAGAAAATGTAACGTACAAAAATTTCCTCGCTCGAGGAGAAAAATATTTCTGTACGATGTTAATAGTTTCGTTAAAATTTTCTACATGTATTGTACCTACTCATTTTTTTATTACATCGAATTAAATAACGTGTCGAAAAATATTATTATTAATTATAGTTAATTATTATTATTAATATTAATTTTTTTTATATTATCAATTAATATTTAAAATTTCCAGACAAGTGAATATGAGAAAACACGATAGAAAAAACGTGCGCTTAAGAGATAATTTTTAATACATACAATTATATGATGCGGGTTAACGAAAAATGGAGTCTGCAACATTTTGTCGTCGACTAAAGACGAATCAATAATAAAACAATGCATTTGACACGAGAGTTTACATCTCCCGGTGTACTTGGTTTACAAAGGCAACAGGAATTTGTGGAGTGAAAGAGGGATTATTCATTCGAGACTTGTGCGAGCTGGCTTGAAACGATCGTTTCAATCTTTTTTAACTTAAGCCGACTGCTTTGCCAATTGAGGTCGATTAAGCGCGGTTCCCGGAGAAGAACACGCACGTTTCCCTCTTTCTCTTGAGTTCACGAGAGCGTTTTGTAGAAATCGTTCTTTGAAGAGCGATACGTTCGGATAGAGGCAAATTGATGACTGTACTATTCGAGATAAACTTTCAGAGTAATTTCAACGAAATACACACAGATTCCGATTCACGGACTCACATTCTCGTGTCAGTTGTCTCAAATTGTAGCTTATAAACACGAGAAGCCCGCGTTCGCGTGATTTTACAAGATTCGATCAATCATCGATCTTCAGATTATCAACATATCGCGTCATCGCTTTATTTACGCATCTGCTGTTCGCCGCAAACATTTTTTTCGCGAGCTCGGAAGCTCCACGTGCGAGGAAACGACCACGTTTCTTAGAAGCTACTCCTCTCTTTCGATTTATTATTATTTGAATACCGATCGAATCACCTGTCCTTTCACAATACCTTCTATTCGTGGCGCACGACGGTTTCCTGCCCTTCGAAGGGAGAGGTCTCGAGGCTCGTTGTCGACGCTGCAACTATCACCAACGACTGTACCTCGGCCGAGATTCGGGCCCCTGATCCGGCGCCGGAGGCCCGAAGCTGCGCGTGGAAACGACGCGCCGATTCGGTCAAAGAGATCGACGATCGCCTCTTCTCGCGCGCCCGGAGAGTGAGATCGCTCCTTTGTCTCCTGCTCCTCTTTTTCCCTTGTTTTTGTTTTTCCTCCTCAAGGACGAGGCGGGCGGAGAAGAGGCGCGCACTGGAATTTGGACGAGGAAGAGAGAGAGAGAGACGCGCGCACACATGTACGGACCGAATGAAGCGACGCGTTCCTCTTTCTCTCTCTCTCCTTTCTCTGAGTTCGTGACGGGAAAACGCGATTCTCGACGATACACACGGACACGTATAGCACCGACTGGGCCCGGCGAGCGACTGACTCGAGCGGCGAGGACTCGCTCGGGGCCCCACCATTCTTGCCATCCTCCAGTCTGGCGGTGAGGTACGGAGTGGTGGAAGAGGTTGCCAGGTGCGTAGGGCGCTCTCGCCAATTTCCGCGTCGGGGATCCTTCTCCGGACAATTTTTGCGAATGACAAGTCCCGTCTGACAGATGTCCATACGTCAGATTCGATCGAGATCGTGTAGCTAATAATCGGACGATTCGCCTCGAAGCGAGTAACCGCGATTTTGCGGACGTCACGAAGATGTAAACACGCGTTTCTACATTTTACACGACGTATGGTATCTGGAGCTTCTTGTATTTTTTGCTGAAAATGTGACGCTAAAATATACGATAGCGCAGGTGGATGAAAGGTACTATTGAAACGCGAATTTGGGAGCGCTCTAGAATTTGCATGCATTATGCAGGTGGAGCAGTTACGAATGATATACGTTAACATAAATCGCGGAAAATGCAACTGCGAAGAGATGCGCCCGCTTGATAATCGCCCTCCTACCGCTCCGAAATAATTCGTCCCACTGCGCTCCCCTCCCTCTCTGTCTCTCCGTCTCTCTTCTTCTGTCCTGCTACTGAAAAATTCAGATTCAGCGAGGCGCGAATTAACTCGTCAGCGTTTGTTTCTGCGCGTTGCTTTCTTCCAAAACAAGATAAAAAATTCACGTTCGAGCACACTTACATAAGTGAAATTTACGCGGGTGACACTAGGACTATTTGTCATACGATACTCGAGATGGATTCACGTTATTATTGTAACGATATATGCAGAGTGCATCCAGGATCTGCCTTTTTATTTTTCCACTAATTTTCCACATTTTCTATCTCGACGAATTTCTCAAAATTCCTCTCCAAATTTTCGGGGACCGATCGCCGGAGTCCCGAAAGTCACGCGGAGCCCAATAAAAAGATACCGTTTTCGCGAGGAGCGGTCGCGACGAGTTCAAGGACCAAGGGCCCGGTCTTCCCACTGGGTCCGCGACTCCCCCTTCCCCTCCGGGCGCGATGTACATACGCATACATATCGTGTGAACTCACCTTTGCTTTCTCGACCTGTATCGTGTGTCCGCCAGCATCTCTGGACTGGAGCGAGAGACGAGCAAATACCTTGTCCCTCCTCCCTTCGCTATTTCTCTCTCTCCCTCTCTCTCTTTCTTTTAACCTGTCTCGCTTTCGGTTCATTCTTTCTTTCCCCGTCTCCGTCGCTCTAGATGGGGGCCCAAGGTTTTCAGCTCGGTGAATACGCAGTAACCATGTCGGGAACCTGTTCCCCCCATCCACGCGCTCAAGGGGGGTCGCTCTTTAAAGGCTACGTTTCTACGTTTTTCCTCCGTGTCTTTCCCGGTTCTCCTCTCTTTCTTCTTGCTCCTCTCTTTGTTATTATCGTTGTTATCGCGTAGCGCTACCATTAACCATGTAATCGTCGTCAGATGTAATTAAGATTGCGCTACTGTTACTCCCTCGTCTTACTAATGTTATTGTCATCTAGGGAGATTAACGTTTTGCTCCAAGAGAAATCCCCCCCGATTCCTGTGAAATCTTTCTCGTCTGACTCATTATTTTTCATTATATTATTTAATTATTCAAATTAAATTTTTTTACTATCTTTTTGATAAGCTCTTGTAATATCGATAATTAATTAAATATTTATAATCAATTAAATATTTATATAAGTAATTAAATATTTATTATCCGCCCAAAGGTTTCCTTTTCTTTCGTCCCTGAAAACTCGGAAATTTTCTTTTTCGTCATTCATTCTACACATTAATCCGCCGGAATGTCTGGAATTCCCAAGAGTTTAAGCTGTCACTCGCTTGTAAGATATTGCGAATCTATTTTCTGCTTGAATATTTCCGTGTTTTTGAATTTTAAGGTAAGATCAAGAGAGTCGCGCCTTTTGATCCCGACACTAAAAGTAATAGAAATAACAACAAAGCGACAAAATCTTTCAATAGCTTAAGCAACTTTGTGTATGATGCGATCTTAGACCTCGATTCAAAGAAAGATCAATCCATGTGATCTTTGTAACAGTTTGAAAGTCTTCCGTCAAATCTCTTTGACAAAATTAAGGATTGTGTTATCGTGACATATCATTATTTTTTAACACAATTATATAATTTTAATTGATAAATATATCGAATCAAATTTCTCCAACGTCGATCAGATCAACGAATCCCTCGACGTCTTTTTTTCGCAATATATATATATAATCTTTAGATTACATAAAGATTTAATAATCACTAATCTTAGCCGATTATAATTAATGCTAACAATCAACGTATCGATAACGTCAAGCTTTAGCCTCCAACGGTTCCATCCAGCTTTAAACGAGAGGCATCATGACGGAGATGACTGATTCGCGATTGGCGACGAGGGCGAATAACGACGTCGTTATCATATTCCATTTACCTAATTGTCGGTTGTCCGTCGCGGTTAAAGTTGGCTTCCCGTTAACGGCGGCGAATGTCAAACTGACGGCGGCAACATTCATTATCCGCGGCAATTATTATTATTTCTAATGAGCGGTGTACCTCGCGGCCGATGCAACACGCGGATCTGGGGGGTTCCGACCCTTCGTCTTTGTTTCCTTCCGTCTTCGTCGCGGTCGGTTCTTTCACCGTCGACTCTCTCTCGTCTCTCTCTCTCTCTCCCCCTCTTTTTGCCCTCTTCGTTTCACGAGGCTGCCTTCTTATGGAGTAACGCGGTTGTGAAGGAACTCCTGTCCGCGTAAGCCGGGATTCCATCGTTCTTTCCTGTAAAGGCGAGCTTACACGGCTCGCTTTTGATAGTCTCATCGCTGTCCCGGATATGAATCGCTCAAACGAAAGAAATGAATCACCGTGTTTCTACAAGACTCATATTCAAGATAAGACGCTTATTTGCTTTCTCCTTATACCGTTTAATCGTTTGAACATTTTAATAAATCCTTATATTTTGCTCTTGAAAACCTAAAGTTTTGCTTGTGATATATTTAAATTCTTAAAATAATAATTTAATAATAATTTAATATATTTAAATTCTGATATATTTAAATTCTGATATAAAAATTATGTTTATTATATTTAATTAAAAATTTCAGATGATTATGAAATAAAGGTAATAAACGTTGATAAATAGAATTTTCTGCTATTCATCATTTGAGAAGCATAACTGCATCGGAGTGTAATTTATTTGCGATAATGCATTTAAAGCCTCGAATATTTAAGCTCTAACCAATCTAGAAAAAATTAATTAACACACAAAGGGCCAATAATTGGAACATGTACAACTACTAGTCATGCTGTACAATATTTTTCTTTTTATCAGAATATATATCAGAATATCGATTTTTTCTGGCTTTTTTTTTATCCAAAAATGTAAAAATGAGAAAAATTTTATATATATATATATATATATATATTTATATATATATATTTATATATATTTCTTTCGTAATAAATAAAATATTCTCGAATTTTATACAACCTATGAGAGTATTGTATCCTTCACGTTATAAGTGAAGAGGTCTATACTACTTTACTTGCTATGATGTAGGACAACAAGGACAATCTCAACTGTATAAAATATTGAGAGACCTGCAAATTCCAGAGATGATGCATTCATCTTGGGCTACTCGTTCGGTTCCATCATCTCGAAGCGAAACGTGTGGAATGGCTTTAAGGTCTACCCTTTCCTTTTCCTTTTCTTTACCTCGACGTAGCACAGTATTGCGTCGGGGCCCAGTGCTGTACGGTGTGGACCCAGCGGACCCGCGAGCTACGGGGAAGGGAGAAAAGGGCTCTCCATGGCTACCAAGTCGGGCGAAGGAAATTAATGAATGGCGGCGATCTCCTCAGCGTTAATAAGTGTGCGCTTGGGAGCGGAAATCGCGGTACAAGAGGGAGATGAACCCTTCCCCGTTCTTTCCAGGAGTCTGCATTTGATTGTAGAAGACGACGGTGTTGTTTAATCCTGGTTTCTCAGACGAATGCGTAGCGTCCTTAATGAACGCTTTAACCCTTTGAGCACAAAGCTTCAAGCCTACAGCAATATTTCTGCTACGGAATATTTAATCATTTGTGTGACGACAATATTACGAGTCTTATAATTCTTAATTAAAATCTCTGATGAACAAGTCTTATCAAATTCATCAATATAATAAATATAGCAACGAGCGAAATAACGATTCTACTTGAGGAGAAAATCGCTTCACTCGCGCAGAGTCTACAAGAAACATTGCGAAAGAATCCGTTATACGTTATTTGTTATACGAAAGGAAGATCCAGCCGCGGATTTGAAGAAAAAAGCTGCGAGACTCGCGGTTAATCGCGCTTAATCGCTCGTCATTCTGTCTAATTGACACTAGGGGGGGAATTAAAGATTTGGCCCTGACATCTATTACTCTGCCGCCGTCTGTTAGCGCAACGCGTGTCCGTACACGAGACTGCAGCTCTCCGAATGCAACGCCATATATGTATGAGAGTATATACATGTGTGCGTATGTATTTGAATGCGCAAGTATACTCGTACGCGTTTGCCTGTGTCGGTTGCGCGAGCATGTATGTACCCTCGAGCGAAGTCAGCCTCGACGTTCGTCTTCCCACGAACCCTTTACTGTACGTACGAGTCTCGTTACTCGTTCCGGGATCAGGAAACACTCCCATCAAAGCCGTTTTACACGGTTGCACCGTGCAAAATAACTTGGCGAACGCCAAGATGGTGACCGCGATCGCGTGTGAACCACCTGTCCGGATCTAAAGGGCACATGAGTGACGCAATCGCGATGACAAAATCGAAATTCGGAATTTAAACTATAATAACATGTCGAAAAAAAACGTAATTAAGTTAAAGTTACATTAATAATTAATTCCCAAGTATATTACACGCAGAATATAACTATAATTATTCGGAATTAATGTATCCAAATATATTATTGCGAATTATTAATTTCCCAATTATTAATTATCAGCTGTTTGTTCGAGAGCTTGTAATAATAAACATGTCGAAAAAAACGTAATTAAGTTAAAGTTACATTAATAATTAATTCCTGACAAATATGTTATACGCAGAATATAATTATAATTATTCGGAATTAATTCAGATATATATAATTGGGAATTATTAATTTTCCAATTATTAATTATTAGCTGTTTGTTCGAGAGCTTGTGAAAAGAAATCGAATATTTGAAATGGCATCGAGCGTGCGAACGTTGGTATGATTATTCGCTCTCTGAGTTCTTGGCAACGACTACGACTTCGAAGGAAGATCGGCTCGAGGCGCACAATGTCCTTTATGCTAATGCATAGTTGTACATTCCACGCTGAAGGCGAAGCTAATGCCGTGGCAAGACACGTACGTCGATATTTCGACGTTGAGTCACGCCAAGAGTGCAAATATTACCGACTATATATACGCCGACTATATACTCTATCAAGAGGAAAAGGAGGAGAGACGGAGAGAGCGACAGAGAGAGACAAAGAGAGTGGTTTTGCTCGTTCAAGAGTCGGAACGGGAGTCCGCGGGACTGACTTCCCAGGAGCACCGACGTAATTATAGCGTTTAGAGCTACCGAACGGTAACTGAAACCTCCCTGAGCGATGCGAGAGAGGACGAGCTCCTGAAACTGACATCTCCTACCTAATGAAGAGGAAAAGCCGAGACAGCCTCCTTTTATGAATAGGAGAATTCTCCGCGAGATATCGATTAAAGCAGCTATCAAAATTCCCATGACGATAATAATCGATCTTTCAATAATACCTTCAAATCTTCTGAATTAGATTTGATTAGATTTAATTATTAAATATATAGATTAATTATTAATTAATAGATAATAGATTAATTAATAATTAATAGATTAAGATAATAGATTGATTATTAATTAATAGAGTAACGTATCGAAAATTTAAATACCGTTCATCCGCAAAAATTTCCCATTAATTTAGATTTGTTTAAGTTAGGAAATATGACGATAAAATGATATGCAGATGCAAATAATTGTCGCTAGTAAGATAGATCTCGCATCGGGGATAATTTATCTGTATTATCCCCGAAGAATTGTAGAAATGACGTAGGCACGATTTAATCCGCGAGATCTCATTGACGAGCTAAGCCAGCCGCTAACATCGATAATCTCGAGAGATGATAGTTCGATGCCCTCTCGCTCGCGAGAGACAGACGATCCTCGCCTCTTCGCGTGGGCGAGGAAGTCGTCGAACTTCCGAAGCTTCATCGGGTGAGCCACCGTTCTCGTTGTCCTCGTCTTCCAAAGTCCACGTGTCGCGCGGGCCCCGAGGTGTTTCGCGGCTAATGGTCGAATTCCTCATCCCCGGGGTGAGACGGACAAGGAGAAAGGATCTTGAGGGGGGACGGGGAGAGTCGTCGCTCGTCGTCGCGGACCCGGTCGTCCCCGATGCCCGCTGGAATATATCCGATATCTTTGGAATGGGGCATAGGTCCCAACGACGCGGCGGCGGACATTGCCTGAACCTGTCTCCACGCATCGAAGTCTGCCTGCTCACCTGCATTCCATCATGAGGAGCCTGGAGGGGCGCCTTTCGGAGGCCCGCAGGATCGTCAAGATTGCGCGCGGCGCCCCTCGGTCCTCTAATTAAGGAGCCTGGGTTCTCAGCGTTGTGTCCATCGAAATTCGAATTCTGCATCTCTTTAAAAAATTGGAAATATTCAATTAAACATTTTTTTTAATTACCCACGATAAGCTGTATTCCATTCATCAAGTAACAAATTATTCTAATAAATAAATAAGATTGTTTTTGCATGTGTTATGCAAGCAACTTTTTACGTATATTGCAAAGTTTTAGATTTCACACGCCTATTAAATGAATGAAAATTTTCTTTCGAATGAGAATGAGCTCCAAGAATGATTCATTAGTCCGAATCGTTATTCTGGAAGAGCTGATTTGCATACGTGATAGCGAGAGTGTCGGATACGTTCCTAGCGGACCGGCTCTTCGGGATCGCGGTATACGCCGAATCATCGAGAGATCAGTGACGGAGCTGCACGGAGGGCGGGAAATTCTCAGGTTCGAAAGAGCCTGGACCATAAAAAAAAAATAATAAAACGAGCCAAGCCGCGCTCTCCTCTCTCGAACCTACCACTTAATTTAATCTTGCTCTAACATCGAGCTCTCATGAAAGGCAGTCCGATGTTCTCTTTCTCTCTCTCTCTCTCTCTTTTTCACTCTCTAAAAACGAATTTCATTGTTAATTAATCCTTTTTACGGCTCCTAGCCTGCGAGATCGGAAATTCGCGGACGTTTAGAGAGGAAGCATTTTTTAAATTGTAGAGTGATTTATGGAATAAGAGAGAAAAAGCTTAAGAGAATTTTATATCGTATTTTCATTTATAATCAAACTATTTTCGATTATCGGTCTCACTGATTATTAATTTTAATTAAATTAAACTTGACATTATTTATACTCTCTGATTTGGGGAATGTCAAATCTATTCTAAATGATATTACATTATAATATTTTTCTTTTACAAATATTATAAAAAGAAATTCAATAATTTTAAGTTTATAATTAGAATTATAAAATTAAATTAAATTTTACTCTAAATTTTATAAAGTTTTTCTACGAAAGTAAATAATACATAAATGATATTCAAGTTACACATGAATACAATCTATCAAATAATCAGAGAACGAGTATGGAAATTAATTATCGATTGCGAATGGAATTAGTGCGGAATAATCTTCTTGTTAGCCGTATATGTCCAGGATTAATAGTTACGTTACTGCGGCCGAATAAACGTTTTCCAAGAAGTTTAAAGGATTGTCAGATCAGATTTATATGAAAGGACCTTTTTACCGCTCTGTACTTGAGTCCTCCCACATATCCGGCGATTAATAATAATCGATTCAGTTTCGCATAAACATTAAATAAATAATTATTGTCTCTCTTCGTGAATATCGTTTAAATTGATAAAAATATAAAATATTTTTTTATGCGAGTACATCGTAATTTATTCGTATAATATTAATTTTAAAACTGTTTAATTTTTCAAATTAATTAATCCTTTCTTATACATCTCACACATCGTCATATATTAATATATGATAATTATAATTCCGCACTAATTTTTTTGGAATTCGCACGAGTTGTTCTCCTTTTCGATAGGCATAAAAACCTTACGATCTCATATTGCGATTCCATACATATGCGTGTACACATACATACATACGACTCGAGTACCTGGCACATACCTGCATTCCTGCGAGGCGACGGAGTTCTCCAACGCGGACCACAGCCCACCGTCGAGAGACGGGCCTGTTGTAGGGCCCTCAATGCGTTCGAGAACACGTAGGGCCCTATGGCATGCGACCTGCCGGCTCGACTCTGCGCGCGGAGGTCATGAGAAGTTAAGTAGCCGCTTCTACGAGGCACCATCTCGAAAGCAAATCTTCCAAAGTGTGATGCAACGTACGCCTCAATCAGTGCGATAATCCTCAATCCCGCTTTCCCGACATCCGATATTCATTTTCCATCGTGTCACAGTGACTTTAATCATGTTCTCGTCTCCCTCTTTCTTTTTTCTCTCTTGAGGACACAATATGAATCGATGAGAAGCTTTTCAAACGGACGGAAAAACATTTTTCTTGATGCAATAATGAAAAAAATCTGCAATAATGAAAAAAAATGTTAGAAAATCTGCAATAATGAAAAAAAATGTTAGAAAATTATATGATTACTGATATCTTTTAAATAACTTAGTTATTTATACAAGTAAAAATATACTTTGCATAGCTAAGTGCATAGCTGCCTTTAACATAAAAATAACACGCGTGGATTTTTTTTATCGATAACTATTATATAAGGCACTTTGTTGTAAGGCTGAGGTTGGATAATTTTATTTTTAGGCGACGTTGAATATATAGATCGTCGGTTAACGACACAAAGTGTATAAAAATGTCCCTCTATCGTAATTTATTTTTACATGTTTGCAAATGAGACTCGCGTCGTTATATTTACGCCGATCATGAATTAATTATATTTTGCAACCAACATAGTTTAAGTAAAAATGTGCTTCGGAAAAGATTCTATATTTATCATAAAAATTTTTCAGTGAGATTAAAATCTATATACGCTTTAATAATTGTGATATAAATAATTATAAAAATAAAAAAAAACTTATTTTATGCACATATATTTTTGATTATTATATATTAATTAGTAATGAAATATTTTTCACTAGCTTTTTTGGAGGAGAAGCAACGTTTTCTTGCCTTCTATCTTAGTTCTTTTTTCTTCTCACGTTTCAGAAAGCTCGGTTTGGACCTGGTGCCACGTCAAGGTGCTCATATGGTGGAACCGGATACCATGTCCGTCGTGGAGTTATACCATGTGGTAATCATGAATGACAAATACGTTTTTTTAAAACCGATATCTTGGGAAATCTTTTCGATATCTTTCGTTATCTGAAAAATTTCTGATATCTTTCAAAACATTAAATAGTTAGTCATAATGGAAAAATAGAGGGACAAAATACGCGGAATGCACGACAATGATGAGACATGGAAATATAAGCGAATTCATCAGAATGCTGATCACGCAGGTAGCATCGTCACGTGTGGAACGATGTTACTTCGGTTACAGTTACTTCTGCAAATTTCGTTTAAATATAATATGATCCATAAATATGATCCCTTTATGATCCATAATGTAATTCGTCGAATGACAATCCGTTAATTTGTCGAGATGAATTATAACGATCTAATAATTATCGAAATAATCGAACAAAAAAATCTTTTTATATTTCTATTAATTAAAAATATCAATTAAAATAATTAAACCGACAATTTCAGAAGTGGAAACTAAACGGATTGATGCAATAATAAATAATTAATATGCTCTTGATTTTCACTGATATTTAAATAATTGCACCCCAAAGTTCTCTCTCTCTCTCTCTCTTGGCTTACCTTCTCCGGTCAAGATCTCAACTTCGTAAGCCGAAGACAAGTTTAAGATCGAAGAGCTAAGTCAATTCGCTAGTAATTAATTAAATAACGTCATTCGAATACTGCTAATCTTGAGAGGAATTACGCAGCATGTGCAAAGCGCCGAGAACTCGCAGGGCGCGTCAGCTCGGGGGACTTTGCGCCGCAAGGAACACAAGAAGGTCCTTACCCATCACTTGTACTTCTGCATGAGAGACTTTGGCCACTCGGTCGGCGAGGACACCGAGATCTACTTCTCCCTGTTCGATGCCAAGCGGCAACAGTACCTGAGCGAGCGCTTCCTGGTGCGCATCAGCAAGGAGGGCTTCTCCAATTACGTGGAGAAGATGCATAGCAACTGCACCATCTTCACGGATCTGGGCAACTCCGATCTGAGCCGCGATCTCTACATGATCGCTCACGTGATGCGCTGCGGCCGGATGTTGTATTCCGATTCCGGCAAGAACAAGACCGGAACCGCGATCTATCGACGACCTCACGGGGTGGCGGTGCTTTCCCTGGCGGAGGCTGCGCAGGATCACGCGGAGGAACTCGAGATGACTTTCAAAGTAAGCAGAATTGAAGATTATAGTCTGATATTCGCGTAGAATATTTATATATTTTATTATAAATTTTATTCTATTTTTTTAAATATGAAACTCAAACATTTTTGAAAATTTTATATAATAATATATCCTTAAATAAATCTTTTTTCGATCTTAAATTATTAAAAAACTCTTAAAAAAATTATTGCAGAGAATTAAATGTGGAGAGGAGACGAATTTAACTTTATAGTTTCTATTTTTATCTACAGGTATATCAAGGGGAAGAGAAAGAGTTTCATCAGTTGCACGAACAAATCATACGTAATAATAAGTGTTCTCCCTTACCTGGACAGCCCAATTACGGAATAGTCGTGTCTCTTCGTATCTTGCACGGAGAATTGTCTCAAGTTCGGGACGAGAACCCGTTACTATTCAAAAATATCTGCCTCACGAAGAAGCTCGGTTTTTCGGACGTCATTATGCCGGGCGATGTTCGTAATGATTTGTATCTGAAATTGGAACGAGGAGAATTTGAACGGGGCGGAAAGTCTACCGGCAAGAATATCGAGGTAAAAATCTTTTGCGAGAAATTATTTTTTCCGCAAAATATATCTCTTTGAAATAGAAATTTATAATACTTTACTTATATATAATATTTTCACACAAATATATTATATATTATATTAAAATTATTAATTATTAATATATGATGCTATAAAGCTTAATAGATTGATATAAAAAAAAAACATTTTTACAAAAAAAATTTAAAATATCTTACCATGATAAAATTCTATTTGTTTTCAATAAAACTAGGTGACAATCCTGGTCCTGGATGCGGACGGTCAACCCTTGGAGGAGTGTTTATTTGGGGCCGCAGGTATGGACGGTAGCTCTGAATATCAGAGTTTGGTCATATATCATCACAACAGTCCATCGTGGGCAGAAACTGTAAGACTAGCGATACCCATTGACAAGTTCTACGGAAGCCACGTGCGTTTCGAATTTCGACATTGTTCCAGTAAGTCTTGGATGTCGATCGAGTCTCCAGTCTTTTGCTTTTTTCTTGCCATCTTCTTCATTTATCTTCCCATCTCTTCATCTATCTTGTCGTGTTGTAGCACGCGAAAAGAATGACAAGAAGCTCTTTGCTTTTGCGTTCGTCCGGTTGATGGAACCCGGAGGTGCTACTCTTCAGGATGGTCCGCACGAGTTGTATATTTACAAATGCGAGGAGCGCGCGAAGTTGGATTCGTTGGCTTATCTGTCATTGCCGAGTAGCTCGCGAGAACCGAGTGCCTCAGGTAAATCCAAGTTCCTGAAATGTAAAATTAACTCTTGTAAATAATATACGAAATTTGAATGAATGTTGATAGTCAAATGTATGAATATCATTAATCTATTATTTATTACATTATCAAATAAATGAAAACTGAATTACTTTTATTTATAAAATATTTCTAAATGAAAGAGAGAAATATTTCTGAATACTTATATTTTTCTTGTTATCTCTCTCAGGTCCACCAGCCTTCTCCAGATCGCCCAAGGAAACTGTGTTTGTGCACACTTTGCTCTGCAGCACTAAACTAACGCAAAATGTCGATTTACTTAGTCTGCTGCAATGGAAGGCGCATCCTGAACGAATATCCGAAGCTCTTGGTCGTGTACTTCGAATAGATGGTGAGGAACTTGTCAAGTTCTTGCAGGACATTCTCGACGCGCTGTTCGCCATGTTTCATACTGAGGATGGCAATTCCACGGCACATTCCGGCCTCGTGTTCCAAGTACTTGTGTCCATCTTTAGTCTATTAGAGGACTCCAAGTTCGAGCACTTCAAGCCGGTGATGGACGCTTACATCTCGGATCATTTCGCCGCAGCTTTGGTGTACAAGGGTCTTCTTAGCAGTGTGCAACATTGTGCCGATTGGGTAACCGCGGCGGAGAAGCAGGAGCCGATCATGAAATGCTTTCGCTCGCTCGAATATATTTTCAAGTTCATTATCCAGAGTCGACTACTATTCGCCCGTGCTACCGCTGGCCAATATGAGGACAGCTTTAAGCGCGATTTGTATTGCGTGTTCGCGGCCCTCAATAAGATGCTAAGTATTCCATATGAGATGGTACTCTTGTCGCAAATCGCGCTATTGCTGTCAATTGCGGCGGTGTTTGAGCAGTTGGTGGCGGTGCTACCGGTTCTCGAGGTGGCCAAGCTCACTTGCACAATGCTAGACTCGGTACCACGTGAACCCCCGCTTCAGCTCGCGCAAGCCAAGTTGGTCGCTATCAAGAATCTCACGACGTCCACCTTGTTCTGCAAGGATGACGAGAGCCGAAACCTCTTGCTTGTTACTATATGTCGACATTTACGCATCCATCTGGCTCGCAGGGAGGAATTACGATCTTGCACTGATATCTTGGGCGAAATACTTAGCTTCCTGCATAAGCGCGGCAGAGACACGAATAAGGTTAACAATTGTATCCACCACGACGTCGAGACGCTCTGCCTGTCGGTGCTCGACGTGCTTATACAAACAATACTGATCGTGATAAACGCCAGTGGACCGGTTCTCGGTTGTCTTGTGGCCTGCCTGATCGGATTGCTCCAGCTACTTGACGAGTATCATTACGCGCGACTCTGGGAAGAACTGACGCACGGATCCAGCGATCGAAAACCACTCAAGGATTTTTTGCTACGGGCGTTCCTAGTGCTACGCGACCTCGTGCGCCAAGAGGTATTTCCGCCGGACTGGTTAGTCATCCGGATGCAGGCCAACAATGTTATTCTAAGATCGCTGCAGGAGCTCGCGCAGCCGCTCGCTTTTCGCTTTCTTCATGGCAGCTTCGACTCGCAACTCTGGTCCACGTACTTTAACTTGGCGGTGGCTTATCTCACTCAGCCATCTCTCCAGCTCGAACAGTTTTCTGAGGTCAAGCGAGAGAAGATTGTGGAGAAGTACGGCGACATGAGAGTACTCATGGGCTTCCAGATATTATCCATGTGGTCGCATCTGGGCGAACGTAAACTCGAATTTATACCGGGTATGGTCGGACCCTTCCTAGAAGTTACTTTGGTACCGGAGAGTGAACTTCGTAAGGCAACCTTGCATATCTTCTTCGACATGATGGAGTGCGAGCAGCGAACTCGCGGCAGCTTCAAATCGGTGGAGTCTGAGTTGATCGACAAACTGGATATTCTTATCAGCGAGAACAAGGGCGACGATGAGTACAGACAATTGTTTAACACTATGTAAGTTGATGTCGGCTCAATCTGTAGATATTTTTTTCATCGATTTCTAGAATTTTAAGTGTTTTGTATGTGTGTGTGAAAGAGAAATTTTAGATATATATTTAAAACCTTCGGAAAAATGTTATGTAATTCATCGCATTTGCAATTTCATGCTGCTTTAGGGAACACCTTAGCGCTGTGTAAGTGTAATGTTTACAAACAAACGTGATTTTATTTTATGGTTGATGCAAATATTGATGTGATAACTTTACTTTCGTGTATAGATTATTAGATAGGGTACAGTCCGAGGATCCGGCTTGGAAGGACAGCGGCACTGCCTTCATAACATCCATCACGCGTTTATTGGAAAGGCTTCTCGACTACAGAAGCGTCATTCAAGGTGACGAGAATCGTGATAAGCGTATGTCGTGCACCGTAAATTTATTGGTGCGTATTAAAGATTTCGAAATTCTAGATATAGTGTAGCCAATAAAAAGCATAAATTATTCATAATAAATATATATAAGCATAATAAATATATCGTATACGTATATCGTGTATATCATTAATAGTAAGTATATTAATAATAATAATAATATCCTGTGATTATTAGTAGCAATTAAGAAATGCGCGTCGCGCATAGCTGCAACCATAGCTACATCTACATATTATTTTTCTCGCGACTTAGCGTATTGATTAACCGAGCTGTGCGATGTACGACGACACGTGTCATACATAATAGCGAATATATATCTCGGTGAATCCATACATGACATTTAGCAACTCGAGTTCGCGATGGAAATTTTATCATTCCTCTTGCTTGCTCAACCGTCGATCAGCTTGTAACCGTATAGAAACGATTCAGTGAGTTATTCTCAGAGCGTTAACATGGGATTACTTTTACTCTTCCTGCAGAACTTTTATAAGAATGAGTTCAACCGCAAGGAGATGTATCTGCGCTACATCTACAAGTTACACGATCTGCACTTGGCTGCTGAGAATTATACGGAAGCCGGCTTCACGATGAAGTTATACGCCGATCAGCTAGGCTGGGGCTCCACTGTCTTGCCGCCGGATCATGCTCATCCTCAACAGCCGGAGTGGCAGCGAAAAGAGCTACTCTATCATAAGATCATCCATTATCTCGATCGTGGCAAGTGTTGGGAAAAAGGAATCCCTCTATGCAAGGAATTGGCAATCCTCTACGAGACCAGATTGTACGATTATGCCAAGCTCAGTCATGTGTTGAAGCTGCAGGCCAAGTTCCTAGATAACATCCTGACGCAGCTGCGTCCAGAACCGGAGTACTTCCGCGTCGGATTTTATGGCCTCAGCTTTCCGCTCTTTGTTAGAGTAGGTTTGATGTATTATTCGAAGCGGCGATTTTCAGAGGCTTTAATACATGGAACAATAATTTATTAATATTCAATCTTATAAAAGTATTTTTTAGTAGCTTAATTTTATTAGCATATTATTTTATTCTTTATGTGTGAAAAGAACTCATCGAAATTATGATTTGTACCTTTTGTTCTAGAATAAATTATTCATCTATCGTGGTTTGGAATATGAACGTATAGGAGCGTTCACGCAGCGATTACAAACCGAGTTTCCTTGCGCTCAGATATTGATGAAGAACTCTCCACCGGATGAGAGCATCTTGACATCTGAGGGTCAATGTAAGCGCGAGATGAGATTTATTAATAAATTCTAAATGAAAAATCAATTTTTTCATTTCAATAATTTAAAAATCAATAATCTTCTATCATATGTATAACATATTTTTTCATTTGCTAATTGTTATTTTTTTATAGATATTCAAATTTGCAACGTGAAACCAATTCCCGAAGAAAGCAGCCTAGCTTGTAGCAGCGCTGAAGTTCCAGAACGCGTGGTCGCTTTTTATTTGGTAAACGACGTACGTAAATTCACGTTCGATCGACCGTTGCATCGTGGCCCGGTGGACCGTGAGAATGAGTTTAAGTCATTGTGGATCGAGAGGACGACGCTGACGACGGAGGCAAAGCTACCGGGGATTCTTAGATGGTTCGAGGTGATTGAGAAGCGATCGGAGCTAATGGCGCCAGTACAATACGCCTGTGAAACTATGCAAAGTGTGGAGAGGGAATTGAGGCGGCTGGTAGCGCAATATACTGCCGAGCCGCACAGGAATATTAATCCATTCAGCATGCGACTGCAGGGTATCATTGACGCCAATGTGATGGGTGGTATCACCAAGTATCAGGAAGCCTTTCTCACATCGGAGTTTGCACGGCAGAATCCCGAGATGGTGCCGCACGTAAACAGACTCAAGGGATTGATCTTGGATCAGATGAGCGTGCTCGAATCTGGTCTAATGTTGCATGGCCAGATCGCACCGGCTGGCGTCCAGCCACTGCACAAGAGATTAATCGAGAGGTTCACGCAACTTAAACAAGGCCTCGGTCCGTTAGCCAGGCAAAGGACCATTCATCAAGACAGCATCGTCAAGTAAATATACTAGAATGCCTTCTAGATTTATTTTAAAAATCAATGACAATCTCTCTTGAATATTTGTTTAATACGAAAATTGATTATTGCAAAATATTTGACTACTATTATTAGTTATCAATCTCATTGGCAGCCTATTTTAGCGCTATAAATTTTAATCATTCTTTATTCTTCTAGTTCGCCCCTACCACCTCTGCCGATCAACGACAAACAGCGCCCGGCTACTCTAGAGACTGCCGGCTCCAGGATATCGCATGCCGACAGCGATGGTCTTCCAGAGGACGAGGGCTTTTACACCAAGGTGGATGGTGTTCCACCGCCTATTCCGCAGCGAGAGGTTCGTCCGCGTTCCGTTGGCTATGGTACAACACCGCCCAGACCTACGCATCAAAGGTCTCTCAGTAAACCATTGAGTCCGAAACTGCCACTGAGACATTCTTTGCCTACTCCTACCGATGGCGCGGATCAAGGCGGTCTCAGAAGCTCTTGGAGCGAACCTGGACCTGAGCCCGCTCCGCCGCTACCACCCAGAGGTTGCAGTAAGTAAATTTCTTTGATCCTTTCAAGACATCTAAAAAAGCCCTTTGTATTATTGTTATATAATCGTAGACAGCGCGACTTTTTTACATGTCTACAAATTGTCCAAAAAAGTACATTTTCCAAAAAATATATCGTGACTTGTGCGAAACGCAGCGGTTTCTGTTTCAGCGCCAGACAAGAGAGACTCGAACACGAATACTGCGGTGCCGCCGGCACCACCGAAACGCGGATTAGCATATAAACGCACAAACACAGAATGGAGCACGGACGACGACTCCGAAATCACAGAACCGAAAAACGATTTGCGCGACAGTGGCATATCCACCACCAGTTTGCTGGATTTTCAATCGCATTTGATAAATCTGAATAACCTCGGCTACGAAGATTTTGAACCGCGTTCCCGATCCAACGACATCATGAACATCTCTCCGCCGTCTGTAATAAGCGCGCTCAACGTCTCCACCGGCAACTTCGCCAGTGGCACATTCCAGAGCTCGCATTCTCTTCCCGGTCAAGAGGTGGGAAGATAGGACTAAAATAGAATTAAATAACAAGTGTATTTCGAGGATGAACAGGCCGTTAAAATTAAAATATGTTTTTTGTTTAAATTTTCTAATTAAATATTATTGCATCAAATTTCCTAAACTTTGAAATATATATTGATAATCGCGAGTTATAATTTTTAATTAATTTTCTTTTTCTTCCATAACATCATTATTCGATTACATTCGAATCAAAAATAATATCGATGTGTATACTTACAAATCAAGACATTAACAATTGATATTGTTTTTTGCAGGTAAGTCCTCCACCTATACCTCCCAAAGTCCATCAGGACACTCCCTCGGCCCCCTCGACTCTGGAGAGAGTGTCCAACAGAACGCAGAGTCATGGTCATTCGGAGAACTATTCCGTGCCGAAAATGCAGACGCTTTCCGTGGCATCCGATACGGAGAGCACCGTGTAACGACGATATATATTGCTAGTCCCTAGCGATTATTTAGTCCTTAGTGATTGTATATGTGCCATTATGCGCGAATCTTGTATCCAATTTGTCCCTCGAATTGTCGGGCGGATTTTCTTAGACAGTAACTTAAGATAAAAAGTATCATCGTTGTCGTCGTCGTGTTTAACGGGTAAACGTGAAGAGAATCTCTCAGAAAACCTTAATATCTGCACATCATCCCGTACGTAGCCAATAACGAATCTTAAATCAGGTCGTCAGACAAATCAAATCATCCTCCGAACGAAACGTATTCGACGTATATTCGTACCTTAATCGCTTCCCTGACGCGGCCGAGTTTACTGGTCCCGGCTAGTTTTACAAATTTTGACGCGATTATCTCGTTCTATCCAATGATATATTTTATTTAATAACCACCTATGACTATAATCAAAAAATGTAATAAAAAAATGTGAAAACTTTTTGTCACATTTCTTGAAAAAAATCCGTCAAGAAAGGGGTTAAAGAGTTAACTAGAGAAAAATAAATAAATACGTGCAATAATCGCTCTTGAACATTGAGAACGTCCAGCAAGAAGCTTCTCGACAAGAAAGTTTTTGACTCATCTGGACATGATCGGCGATCGAACCGCGACATGTATGCGTCATATATCAACTTTACTTTAAAGACCGCTCTTCCGAGTATATCGATCCACACACTGTGAATATTATATATATTTTGTAAGTTATTTATATTTTCGATGAGAAAAAAATAAAGGTAATTTTTAAATCAACGACAACTGCTGCGGATTGTGTGGAATGATATTGTTAGCTTCCGGATGCTGAGGAAGAAAACAAATTCCATCTTGCTGAAGGGTATATAAATTATGTATTTTGTCACAGTTCGTTTTCCTCTTTGTCTTATATGAGTATATATATACAAAAGTATGAAAAAAACTGCGCTGCACAATTGACATGCTTCGACTTACACTATGTTTTTTCTCCTTCTTCTTCTTCTTCATGGCATGTAAAATAAAGAGAGAAAAATTGTAAACTTCTATATAAAAAAAGGAAAATGGACGCAAATGTAGAACCTAAAATTATACATACGCACATGTATATGAAAGAGAGGATAGAGGCAGTGGAATGTGTACATTGCACAATACCGAATTCGAGAAAAGATAGAATGATACTAACGAGTATAATGATTGATTAGAGATCATTTTCGTTCTCCGTATCTTTCTCCAAACGTCATTGCCGATTAATAGCAATTAGATCGTTCGCCGAGAAAAATCAAAGATTCGTAAATCACCAAGTCGCTTCTTAATACAAAGTAAACAATAAGCGCCAAAATTTTTTATATCGGATCGATCGGAATAATTGAACGCATTCGCTGCACGCACGAGGTAAGCCATAATTGAGTGTAACTCGCGATGTGTTTTCTTAAACACAAAGTTTTAAGTTACTTTTAGTTACACGAGATTGTAACTAAAATAAAAATTTAGAAATTATCAACTTTTACTACCTCTTGCATAGTTTTGCACCGAATCCTTCAATTGCGTAACCATGAATAGACGTCACATCGATATTTTCCAATGATGCAAACGATAATTGTCGATAATATTCATTTTTAATGACATCCATTAAACAAATAATTATATGAACGACATCGCATCGTTTGCTGTCAAATCATTGAAAGATACTCCAACATGCGACATTTATCTCTCCGATAGATTACTGCGGCCAACCCATCCGTATGCGATATATGAACGAGCACTCGCAAATATACGCTAATTAATATGGCTAATTATATAAGTCATGGCTGCTTTTTTTAAAATATATATATATCGACGATCGTTCGAGTCTTTATTGCGCGCTGTGGACACTTAAGCTAGGCGTAAGCTAAATTACTTTGTACGTTGTTCTCGTTTGTGTGGTACGGACCTATCAAACGGACGTTTCCGCATTAGTATCCTTCCTGCAACACAACGATAATCACGATTATTGCGGCTCGCGATCGCGAGAGATACGGAGAAAATTAGCGATAGAGACAATCGTTGCGATTTACAGGCGTTTGCCATAAATGCTTACCTCTTCGCTGATGATTCAATAGCCGTAGATAGGGCAAGCACGGATCACAGAAAAGATACAGTTATATTAGAATGTTCCACCACCTTTCGTGTGCAAACAGCAAGAGAAAATGGAAAACCAAAGACACCAGAATGAATTAATTAAAAAACGAGCGTTATGAAAAAAAAATTGCGCTAAAAAAATCCGCTACAACTTAAGTATGTTATAAATCGCCGCCGATCCTTTCTATATACGTTGGATACGATGTGACGTATTTGTATTGTCTTTTTGTAAATTATTTTATATCTCAGTAAGAAAAGTAGAAACTTCTCTCTCGGATATAATCGTTTATATAAAGGTTTCTATTTTTATTCGAACGTGACAACATGTGTTGTTTTATTTCTGTGACTTTTCGTATTTAATTATTAATGTTCATTAATATTAATTATGTATATTATACCTCATTAGATTATTTTACATCTCATTTAATTCACTTTAAGATACTTCAATTTGTTGAAGTAACAACAAGTTTCCGATATATTGCACGAAATATCTAAATAACTCTCTTTACACTATTATATTCTAGAGGAAGATATTATATTTCTCTAAAAAATTATGAAATGATAATTCTAAATACTTTCATATTCGACTCATGCATCAAATCCATCGTACATAAAAGCTAGATCTAAACCTTTTACCTTTACTAAAAAAAGCCCCGATATTCAATTGATAAATAAATTTCTTCAAAATAAGCCTGATATACTCACTCGGTCTCTGTGATGGTCTGCTCATATTGCTGCTGCTGCTGCTGCTGCCTGAGTGCCGCTAGCTCATTACTGTGTTGCAGATCATGGGTCAACGAGCTTGACAATATTCTCCCGCTCATCGGCAAGATGTATTCGGGTGTGTCTCCCAGCACCGTTGGGGTACCCATCTTGCCACGTTTCAGACTGCCGTATCTTTCAGAACCGCTGAGATTATCGTGCTGCGAGCCATGAAGACTCTGACCTCGCTTCAAACTACCATAGCGTTGCTCGGAACCACTTAAGTTCTCGTGATTCGAATTTTGCGAATGGTGGCTCATGCTGGACGCCAAGATGCGCGATGACATGGACAGCATATATGGTGTAGGTGACACCGTGTGATCCTCCTCAGCGGTGTACGGGAACAAGTACTTCTCACCCAGATGGTGCACCTTCTCCTCGCCTTCTGAATAATTTTCGTCCGGCTGGCTCTTCTGAGGCGAGCTCATCTCTGGATACGGCAGTGGATTCGGACTCGAGGTCTTGTTCGAAGCCATCTCGTTATCCGACATGGTGCCGCCGGACCATTGACTGCCACGCACATCCATCACTGTAAAGAACATTAATGTTTATCAATCCTCTTTTATAAACAATTATACAATTTTATAATGTATTTCTATAAGTATTAATGTATGATATAAAAAAAGTAAAATACTAACAATGATAAACAAAAATTATCGTATTAAAATTTAATATAATTTGATAATATTCATTTTTTATTTATTTATTTTGGAATTATATATTATTATCAAATATTAATTATTATCGTTATCCAAAGATTCTATTTTTATTTTTAATATAAGTGAATTTGTTAGTTAATCTCACCATTTGATGATAAATATGCTTCCGGCAGTTGAGAGCTCCATCGAGGGGCGTAGATGGGTTTGATGTTGGGAAACAACTCGGCATTCGAGCAAAGTATGTTCAAGTGTTCGGCGGGATTAGTGTGAATGTTAGGTAGGTAGCTGTGGGCAACATGCTGCTGTGTAGATACTCCCATGTTCCTGTGAGACCTCGACGTCACGTCGTCTTCATCGGAACTGTGCGAACTGGCGAGATCCAGGCTTCTTCCGCCTCCTTCGGCTTGCGAGCCATCGGAATCTGATTCCGATTCTCTGCGCTGACTTCTCACCTCTGTAGATTCTGCTGACAATATTGATGTGAAAGTATATGATGCAATATTTTTTTTAATTGGAAATATTAATTAACATTAGTTTTTTTGTAATGTTAATAAAAATAATTTAAAATAAATCCACATTAGAAAAAAAGCAAATGATATTATATAGTATATAATTTTTATTAAAATAATATTATAATATTTTAACTAGAAAAAAATAAATAATAATATTTAATACCTCAAAATTTCAAGAATTTTTTAATAAATTTATTTTAATGCATATTTAATAAATCTCATAACTGTACCTTGTCGAGAGTGTAACACTGACCGATGACTCCTGGATGATAGATATGGATCTCGATCGCTGTTGTAGTTGCTTGTGGATGTTGACGTATGTCTCAAGTGTGTATCGCTACGATAAGGGCTTGAACCCGTTTTATTTGTACTTCTTGAAGTTGTGCTGCTCGTGGATACGCCGACGTGAACTCTCCTGCATGCGGATTCGGCTCCGCTATAGGTCGAAGAGTAAGCTAATGCCGAACGCTGAAATATAATGATGCAAATTAATTACAACTATTTCATTACAACATATTTATAAATTTTCATAACTTTTAAAATTATTTTAATAATTAATCTAAATAGAATTTTAAGAAAGATTGTTTCCGAATATTTTAAATTAATATTTGAGATTTTTTAAATTTCCATCTTTTTTAAAATATAACAAAGCATAAATTCAAATGTTTGCAAATAAATTCAAGTTTCTTTAAGATATAAAACATAAAATAAGTTTTAAATACATACCGATTGACCATTCACATTTTGACTGCTACTTCCATTACCCATGCTTCCTTCCAGCAAAGGTGTCTTTTTGCCCATACATCTTAATAAACTTTGATACAAATTTCTTCTCACTCTGCCATTGATGAAGCAATAACCGATCAGGCTGAATGCTGCGTGAATCACGATGGTAACACTTAGCAAGTATGATAGAGTCGGTGAGTTCTCGGATGCATTGAGAACCGCCAAGGTCCATGTTGATCCTAACAAGGGTAACGATGCCACGGAGAGCCATAAAAGCGTTCGCAAATTTCCGAAACCCATGATGTGTTCCTTCAAAGTAAAAGCTGCGCGAATACACATCACGAGAATGCAGAAGTTCACCAACACAGCTGCACAGACAGGTCCTATTAGTGACCAGATCACGGTCTCGTAGATAGATAGCCAACAACTAGAAAAGCAAGCAAAAATTTATATATTCGAGATCACATTTAAAAGAATTCAATTTTATTTGAATAGTTGGCAATTCAGAAAAAATACTATATTTTACTACAGAAATTATCACAAAATTTTCTTCTATTATTTTATTTTTAATTTAATCCTCTATTGTTTTTTAATATTTCTATAATAAAATAATAAAATAATAAAACTTTTAACATATATATTTATGCAACAATAAACTATGGAATTATAATGTACGCAATTTTTTTTATTAAAAAATAGATATCTAAAAATAATTTTTTTAAAGAACGAAGAAAAAGATAAACTTACAAATAGAAATTTCCATATTGATCAGCCCTGACACCGATGGTGAGTCCAACAATAACAGCCGGTAGACCGTATCCCATGGTATAATAAAATCTCATCTGTCCGTGATTCACATCCCTCATCTCTGTCAACATCCGATAGAGATGAACAGAATCAACGAGGGTCCAAGCGAAAGTGCTCAACCAAGCGTAATGCAGTCCTATCGCCGTCAATTTGCACGTAAACTCATTAGAAATGAGAGGACCCCTGGCTTTAAGTGCGATCAGGTATAGGATTTCCGCGACGAAAACGCACAATACTAGGTTCTTGTGGATACTATTAGAGTTGGTGCCTCCACCGCGAATTAATGCTAAGATCAGGAGAGCGGACAATAATAGCGGTAGAGCGAGCATAAACGCGCTGTAGCTGGTCACATCTTCCAGTAGGGATGGTTCGGGAACGTATTCCAGATCGAGAACGTCCGTTAGTATAGCGAAGGTGGACAATTGCAAGCAGGAACAATTCACGATGGTACCGAATGACAGAGTATTATCCTCGATTTCCGTTGTGCAGCCCATTCGACTCCATTCGCCGATTCTGAAATTTATCGATAGAAACGAATTATTTTGTGTCAACCTTTGCAGAAATTTTTTATCAAGATAAAGTGAAATTAAATTATATTAAATTAATTTAATTATTAAAAACTTTAAAATTATTAAAATTATTTAATAAAAATGGCAACTTCTTGATGTACATATATAAGAATTTAATTAATTTTTCTTACCCCCTCGCCGTGCTCCAATGAACACACTGTGGATTCGTTCTAGTTTTAAAATCATCGTTCTCGTTGAGCCAAAGTCGAACTTGAACAGGTGACTGCAAAGGGATTCCAGTCAAGGATTCATAACCGTTGTCTGAAGGAACCAATACTGAGATGGTCATTACAGGCGAGCCAACTGCTACTTCTACACCCCATCTAACTGCGACTGAATCGTCGAATCTGTAATATTAAATATCATCATTAAAGAAATTAATAATCTATTTTCTCAATTCTGCTCGAAATTTAAAATTTTAATGAGAAATTTGATAAAATATAAAATAAAATTATACAAAAATTATATAAGATGTGCAACATAACATGTAGAACTATTTATATTGATATAAATCGTTATACCATATAATTATATAAATTATTATATCATATAATTAATATAAGATTATAATTATCTTTCGAACTCATATAAAATAAATAATTAAAGTCACAACTAATTAATAACAGCAACATTATATACCTTTGTGGCAAGAGAGCGCCGAGTTCCTTGTACTGTACATAACTCAGTACGGCCTTTCGATTACTTAGGCTATTTTTGACATTCAGCTCGCCCTGCACGAGAGGTTTAATGCCCAGCGTGTTGAGAGGCACTTGGATTTTCGAATGCGGGTCGAATCTGCTGGGATCTGCCATATAATTATTGTACTTTGGAAAGCTGATAGACGGACCAAAGTGCGTCGAAGAACTAAGAAAAGCAGAGGTATCAGGAAGAATGACCTTCCGGTCGGCTTCTGAAGGTCTTGCCGTTGATAAGGTAGGATCTTCCTTGTATTCGGCCGTCTCGTAGCCAAAGAGACTCTCTGATGTTACGATGTCTAGACCGAGCACTAAAATACGTATATATTTGACGATGAATAAATATCTTTTAAATAAAAAAATTTATGTTTATCAAATAATACAGAACTCGGCAAGAACTGAATATATAAATATTTAACGAATTAATCGAACGAATGCATTCCGATTCATCTTTTCGTTTGGTATATATAAATATTTAACGAATTAATCGAACGATTACATTCGGCTTGCCACTTTACTCGCCGTGTTACAGTGAATATCGCGCGAGAGAGGCAGGCAACATGCGCGGCGTCGTGCACGATTTCGACCGTCCGCGCGCACGAAAAACGGCCAATTTATATCTCGACTTCCGGACGCGATAGCGATTTCATTCTTTTTGCATAAAATTCTACACCATTTCGCGGCACTACCGTTTAAATCTCGTCCCGATCGCCCGAGGAGCGGCTGACTTACAGTGAATATCCGAAATCTGCTTCTTGGACTCACGCTTAAGTGTAATATTTATATATATCGAATAAAAAAACGAGTCGGAACGCAATCAGTCGAATAGTGAATTAAATATTTATATATACCAAACGAAAAGATGAATCGGAATGCATTCGTTCGATTAATTTGTTAAATATTTATATCAGAGCTCTATCAAGAACTGCACATTTCGGCTGACTTTCAGCTGGCTCCGCCTAGCGCGTCCCCCCTTATCCCCCCAGACGAAAAACGGCCAAACTAGATTATATGTAAGATGTTTCATAACACATTCCAAATTTATTTTCTAAATTACAAAAAAATAAACTATACTTAATTTTCTAAAGAAAATACTGAAATAATAAAAATGCGAAACATAACAAATAGTTTACAAGAATTTGATAACTTTTTTAATAATTCAATTAAGAAGAAATAAATCACTCACCAACGTTACTATCGACTACTTCAAAGGGACTGGTAAAAGTATCATGTTGCGATGCCGTCAGAGTCTTCAAATAATTCGCCATAGCGTTCAGAATCTTATCGGAACTGTCTCCGTTGAGTTCTCCTATCTTTTCCCATTTCTCCTTATACTTGGATCTCAAGATCGCTCCAGCTATGCCAATCAGGTGAGAAACATAATCTTTATCCTGGCTGTGAGTCAAATTCAACCCCACCAGGCTTTCTTCGTAACGTAGCAACGTCACCAACAAGGATTCGGCTACCAAAAGGTCCGCTCCGTACATCTCTCTAGTGATATTCACTGCTCGATGAACATCCTTTGCCATCTTCACAGCCACGTAAGTGTTCAATGTAAGATCCTTGGTCTCCAGGGCTGCGAGCTGATGTCGTTGCTCAATAAAAGCCTCCGAGGTGCAATTGAAGAGATCAGGCAATTGCCAACCGCCCAATTTGTCGTCACAGGATCTTGAGGCCTTGCCCTCGGCGGTGCCCGGACAATTCTCAATGGCTGTCATTCCGAAGAGAGTCCGTGACCACCACAGACCATCCGAATACGATTTAGGACAACCGTCGTACACTACCTCGCAACCCCTCAGAGTTACCTAAAACATATATCAAATAAATATTAATATTAATTAATATTATATTAATAATCTTGATATATTAAATACTTTTATAAAAAGAGTTTAATATTTTTTTAAATATTATGTTATAAAATAATGCATGATATGTAATTAAAATGCATTTTATCTATCAATCTTATAATTAGTTTTGTTCTTTCAATGCGGAAATTCTGAAAGATATTATACAATTCATTAAAGTATAATTTTATTACATCGCTATATATTCTCCTCACCTCGGCATAAGGATTCGGACAGTCGGTGCACGCCCGACCGATGACTCCGGTTCGGCAGCGACATTGACCGGTTTCGCTGTCGCAACGTGGCCCGAAGCTGCCGGTCGCGTAACATTCGCAAGGTATGCATTCCTTGCGCCCAGTCGGCTGATAATGGTTCTCTTTGCAGTAACATTCGCCGGTGGTCTTGTTGCAGGCCGGATCGTAGCCTTTAGTCTCGTCGCAGTGGCAGGGACCGCATACTGGCGTGCCCCACCACGTTGCTGGACAGGGTTGATCGGCTTTGATATCACAATAATTGCCTGTGTACTCTGATGACGTACAATCGCAACGATAACCACGCTTCGACGTAGTTACGTCCTTCAAACATTCGCCAGTTTGCTTGCACGGATGTAGGTCGCACACGGGCTCGCACTTGGGCCCAACGTAACCAGCGGAGCATACGCATTCGCTGGATTGCCATCGGGATAGGCAGGTTGTAGTGTCTGGATCGCAATTGATTTCGCATTTGGATTTCGATGGGCAACCGATGCTGATGTTCTCCTTCACTGTCGGGCGATGGAGTAGACTCTGGTTCGATCCAACTCGTATGTTCTGCAAGCAACCGTATAAAGGTTTCAATTGCGAGTCGATAGTCTGGTCTGGGCCGCCTACGAGTATTCGACCGACGTAAAGGCCTTGGAGCTTGGCGGGTAGGAGCAGTGTTGTTGGCCGATCGCGGTAGTCGATGTCTAAAGACACGTGGCCGCTCTGCCAGAGGATTTCCAGTCGATGCCATTCGCCGTCGGCGACGTAATTAGTAGTACCAATTACATCCGTGCCGTCTAATGAGACCACCAGCTTGCCATCTCGAATCTCTAGTAGCACTGAGCTGTTCTGGCCGATTTGGACGCTCATCACGAACGCGTGCTGCTCTCGAGTTCGAAGACTCAGTGCGGTTAGCCAAGGTAACTGAATTGGTCGCAGCAACGGGTTGAAACTGAGCATACCATGCCCATGAAACATCCATGGTTGACCGACCTCTTCGTCGCAGGTTGGACCGGCGAACGCGTCTTCGCATTCGCAAAGAAAACCTGCCCATACTTCGCGACATTTTCCATTATTTCTGCGCACAAAACGGTCGTTCTTGTTAGTTTTAATTCATTACAATAGAACATTTCAACCTGGATTTAAGTCATCTTAAATTATAAATTATACATGAACAAAAATGATTTTTTCGAGCGAATAAATCATAAGTAATAAAACAAGAAATATTAAGAATTAAATAGAAATATTAGTCCAGACAATAAGAGAGTTATTAGTTATGTGATTTTATAATTATTTAAAAAACGAAAAAACAATGTTCAAAATCGCGATGAAAAGAGAGAAAGAAAAACTTTTTCGAACTGTCAAATATTATCTAAAGCAGCCATTTATTATGAAAAAAATGAAAATAAAAATAATGTATTAAAAAGGAATCCATAGATCCTTTGCTTATAATCACTTACTGTCGATTAAAATTATCGAGAAAAATCAAGGTGTTCGATAAAAAAATAAAAAGTCGAGAATTATTAAATCAGAGATTAAGTGTCAAAGAGGCAGCGCAATCATATACCTGTAGCAGAAATAAAATAAATGAGCCAGATACCGAAAAGAGATTAAATATAAAATAAATGTGAAGTATAAAATGTCAAGTATAAATAAATTTACTTACTAGTGTCATTTCTTTTTTACTTTACGTACTATAAATTAAGCATTATAAATGATATTAAAAAATTTTGGTATTTTTAGATAATAAAATTATCCGTAACGAGAACGAAAGACGCAGGCAGACATATCTACCTGCGCTTCCGAAACTCTCAATAAAAACTAAATTAACTTCGACAGCCGAAAGCCAGCAGGTCACACAAGTAAACACAAAAACAACCGTAAACACAATAATGCGAAAAGAAATAATAGTTATGGTTTCCTCAGTTATTATAAATATGACATTGCTTTAGCAGTATTAAATTAATTTTGTAAACTAATGCGTGTACATTTTTTTTATATTTATTGTATTAAAATTTTTCTATGTCAGTCTCAGTATTTTTTCTTTTCGTATTACCTTGATTTATTCGATTGAAAAATTGTTGCTTATTTTTATTCAAAATTTATGATTAAAAAAGATGATTAATTTATGATTAAAGATGACTTGAGAATCCATATTAAAACGTTCGTTATTATAAAATTTATTTCATACAATCAAGACACTAATACAAAATGCACAAATTTTATATTAGTTTGATCTGATTACTTTGATCTAACTCTTCAAAAAAATTAATTAATTCAGTATTAATTGTATAATAAAATCTCGCCTTCTCAATTTGTTTCAAATCAATACATTTTTTTATTACCAAAAGATTTAATATAAAAATTACGTTATATAAATTATAATAATTTTTAATAGTTATTTTAATGAAAGGAATCAAACATCTTTTAAAAAAATTTATAGAAACAAATCAAGAGAAGTCGATACTGATTTTTTAAATTTTAATTTCGCACAAATAATTTTGTCAATTATTACCTGCAGGGAGATGAGGCACAAAAGGCGGCCTTCTCAGGACAACCCGCATGGGTTCCATTGTCTGCCACGAAGGAGTTCAAGTTGACGAAAGTATGATCGATGTAGAGATCACTGATACATCCGACGTAGTCCTTGTTGCGAATTTGAAAGTTGGAAGGGATCGCCGGTAGACCGCCAAGTTGCAACGGTCCGGTTAAATCCAGGAATCTGTGACAGGTCTCGGTAACGAGTCCACAGCGTTCCTCGAGAATTCTTTCGCTCCTGCCGGCGCAGTTCCATCTCGGTCCCAGCCTCTCGCCGTGTTCCAGAGCGAGTGCGATGTCGCAGTCATCCAGGGACACTGTCACTGTTCGATTGATGTAGGAGACCTCGACCTCGTGCCATTGTCCATCTGAGACTCCACCGAGAATGCCCGCCGTAGCCCGGCTTACCTCATCACCGAGAGAGAAGCTAAATTGCACTTTCGAATCCACGATCTCCAGAGCGATGAAGTCATGACGTTCGTTGTACCTGCCGTTGTAGAGTAAGAGACCGTCGGTCAGCTCGGTGGCAAACTTTAGTCTCAGATGGAGGCGATGACGTTGTCTGAGAGAAGCGAAGGTGAGAAACGTTGCCGGACCAAAGCTGCGCGCTCTAAGCTCGCAAAATGGTGTCACGTTTTCGAGCGCGGCTATGGGGCAATCCTCGCAGATGAAACCGCCGGTATTCTTAAGAGTAGTGCATCGAGAGCCGTCCTTACAAATACCAGGCGTCGAGCAAACGTCGTGGTCTAGCGAGATCTCGCAGTTCTCGCCGGTAAAGCCAGGCTGGCAGATGCACGAGTATCCATTTTCTCGTCTATAACAAGTGCCACCGTTCATGCATGGATTTGAATAACACAAGTTCACCTCGGTGTCGCACATATATGCTTCACGGCTGCCGGTGAAACCTCGGCCACATCGGCAAGCAAACGTTGTTACTGGATAGATGGGTCGAAAGAGAACTGTATCGCTGCTGGCAAAACCGGACGCGTTGCCGAATTTTAATACTGTCAGGCACTCTTCGAAATTTAGACAAGGCTCTCTAACGCAAAGATTGTCGTCGAAGGGTAAAACTGTGACTGTCGCCAATCTCGCTAAGATACCGCGATTTAGATAGACGCGTTCTTGAAGAAACTGCGGACTGTAAAACTCATCGATTGTACCGGGCTCTACTCTGCGCGCCGAAAAACTCACGTTCAAGATCTTGGCGTGCACGTTTGCATCTTCTTGAATGCTGAAGAGAAAGATGTTTTCGCGCGGACACGGAATAATAGCTGCCAGACCATCCAGGAAATAACCCAGAAGAGGACTCAGAAACGCTTCCACCGTCATATCGTCCAATCTCACTGTAATCGAGTTCAACAGCATCTCATCGGTGATCAAACGCACCGATAATGTCATCGTGGCTTTCGCTTCGTTGATGCCATCCGTCACGGCGACTTCCATGGTCGCCACTCGTGGAACGTTGGTGTTGAGCTGTGGCGATAATCTAATCTCGCCGGTGGTTTTATTGAGATCGATCAGATTTGCATTGTTACCGGCGAGGATGCTGTAGACTAGATTGTCAGTGACGTCGGCATCCACCGCCGGTATACGGCCAATCGGTGCGGTCGGGAAGAAATCCTTGAAGTTGTTGAAGATGATCTGGAAATCCTTGAGCACCGGCGCATTATCGTTTACGTCAGTCACTAAAATGTGCACCAGCGCATCGGAGCGCAACGGCGACGATGCAGCGCGCACTATAAGTTCGAATTTCTTCTTCGGCGATTCATAATCCAATTCTTCGAGAGTAATAAGTTCTGCCCGATCGGCTCCCTGTCGGATATGCAAGGTAAAACTGTTTATGTCTTCGCCCCCGATGATACTATAATGCACTACTGCATTTTGACCCTCGTCCGGATCATGAGCATAAATTTCGCCGACGGTCGAGCCGATTGGCGAGTTCTCAGCGATATAAAGGATGATTTTGTCACTTTCGAAGGCGGGGGGCGAATCATTGATGTCCTCGATCTTGACGATGACCGGAACGACGGATGAAAGCGCGGGTGAACCGCGATCTATGGCAGCGGCTTTTAGCGTATAACGCGCAACCGATTCTCGATCCAACGGTTTTGCGGTTCTAACGATACCTGTCATAGAATCAATTGCGAATGCGCCGTCGCCGTCGTCCTCTAAAGCATATCTTACCTGGAATATTTATTGAATTCATTAGACTCAAGAGAAGAATATTAAATCATTTAGCATCTTTTATTTTTGTAAAAATTGTACTCACCCGGCCATTGAGATCAGTATCCGCATCGGTCGCCGCAATCCTGACTACACTAGTGCCCACTAAAACATCTTCAGGAATTGATCCGAGATACTGCGGCGCCTCGAAGACTGGCGCATTATCATTCACGTCCGTAACAGAAATCTCCACATCGGTGGTATCCGACAACGGCGGTATCCCGCCGTCTCTAGCAGTTACTGTCAACAAGTACGATGGTATTAGTTCGCGATCGAGCGCTTTAGTCGTCGTGATCGCTCCAGTCTGCGGATTGATAGTGAACTCGTTGATCGTCTGTTCTCCATTATCAGTGGCTAGGCTGTAAGTGATCTGGGCATTCTTGCCAACATCAGAATCAGTGGCACTGACCACCAGGACAGTCACACCGACCGGTGCATCTTCGAAAACCGAGACCGAGTATGGCGCATTCTCGAACACTGGTGAGAAGTTGTTGGCGTCCGATACGTTGACATAGACCAGGGCGGTGTCGGTGCGGCCGCCGCTGTCTGAAGCTGTCACCGTCAGCACGAATCGCTTTTCTTGCTTGTAGTCGAGCGGCTGAGCGACGGTGATGAGACCGCGACCGTTTTGCGACGCGATGGAGAAACGTCCGCGCGTGTTACCGCCCGTAATCTCGTAGTGGATCCTGGCATCCTCGTCCGGATCAGTAGCAGTCACTGAGGCGACCGGAGTGCCCGGTGGATCGTCTTCGGATATTACAGCCTCGTAGTTCTTCGGCTCGAAGTAAGGATCGTTATCGTTCACATCAGTCACCGTGAGAATCACCGTCGCACTCGCGGACTTTGGTTCCTCGCCAGAGTCCATCGCGATTACGATAAATTGGTATCTAATATAAAAGATTTCGCGTGACAAAATTTATTTTTATTAATATTATAATAAATCATTTTTCGATTACTTTGAATATTTTTTATAAACTTGCTATAAATTATATGATAGTTTTTTTTATATTATAATCTTTTTTACTTTGACTATTTATTATCTATTGTAATAATTAACGAAAGAAATTAATACCTCGAGCACTGTTCGCGGTCCAATTGCTTCGTCGTGTAGATCCATCCAGTCTCTGCGTTCACAGTGATGGGAAAGTTTTCTGTGGAGGCACCAGTGAAGTCGCGTGCACCAATGTTATATTTGATAAGTGCGTTGTTACTCTCGTCCGCGTCATACGCTTGCACTCTCAGTACCGAGTAACCTAACGGCACGTTTTCTGACACTGATTCTTGAAAGTGGCTTGTGTAGAATCGCGGTGCGTTATCGTTCACATCTTTGACCATCACCAACAACTGAGTGGTGTTGGATCGAGCGGGTGAACCGCCGTCCTGGGCGCGTATGACGATTTTATAGTTCCTGATGGATTCGTAGTCGAGAGGCTTGACCAAAGCGACGTCACCGCTCATCGAGTCGATGGAGAATGTGTTTTGCGTGTTGCCGCCGATGATGGCATAGCGGACAGCCGCATTAGCGCCGGCATCCGCGTCCGTCGCCCGGATACGAGCCACCACCGGATTACTCGTGTAGTCCAAATCCTCGGATACCGACGCCGAGTACGTGCGTTCAGTGAACTGTGGATAGTTGTCGTTGTCATCTAGCACGCGCACCATCAGAGTTGCGTTCGTGCTTCGTCGCGTTGAAGGTGGTGTTGCTTGATCGGTAACGCTGAGCACCACTGTATAAACTTCGATCACCTCGCGATCGAGCGGAGTCCGCGTGGTTACCACACCAGATCTGAAGACGAATGAAGATTATTGTTTTACTGAGTAGACATATACGAAATTAAATTTGATCTTATGAGAAATTTTCTTGCAAAATCTTCTATGGATAAATAGATAAAATATTATTCTCTGTATACAGCATTTTTTTTATTATATAAAATATATCGCGATATAATTTTCTTAGACTTCAAAGGATTTTAAGAAAGAAAAGGATAACAAGATTATATCTGAATCTTGCTGACCTTGAATCGATTCTGAAAGTTGCCGCGTCCTCCGTATGCGTAGTAGTATCACCTGCCGTGGTAGAAATGATACAATACTCCACTTCGGCATTTCTACCGGTATCCTGATCCGTAGCTTTAACTGTAACCACAGTGGAGCCCACGGGGACACCCTCTCGCACCGTCGCGTCATATTCTGACCACTCAAAACTGGGCGTATGATCGTTCGCATCCAATACATTGACCTGGAGAGTCGTCGTACCGGTTCTCGGTGGAAACGAATCATCCACTGCTAATACCTATAAAAAGTATAGAAACTTATTTGTGCAATTTATATATTTCTTGTGTTAAAATTATCTTCTTCAGTTTCGTGACTTTACATACTCGGAAGTAGTGCACGTCGACGTTCTCTCTGTCCAGTCTGTCATGAGTGGTCACTCTTCCAGTCACTGAATCGAGAGCTAACAGCGCTTGCGATCTCGCATCAATCAGCGAGTTCATGGAATATCGCACGGCGCCGTTTTCAGGATCTCTAGCTCTTACTGTAGTCACGTACACCCCCTTTTCTTTCTCCTCTTCAACGGCAGCTACATAGAGAGGTTGCTCGAAGTACGGCGACTGGTTTTTCAACTCACGCCTCACTCTTCTACCCAGATCGGTGTCGTCTAGTTGACGATGATGGAACACAATCTTCAGCCGATGCTCGGCGTCGGTCAGACGCGAATCACCGGAGCAACGTAGGTTCATGCTGACCGAGACTTTCCATAATGGATCCACCAAGCATTGTTCGGTGGCGGAGACCAAATCTCCAGCGGCGCCCTCCACGAGAAATCTGGGATCCGCAACTCCACCCCATCTGGTCTCGCATTCCTTCAGGGCCGTCTGTGGTAGGAAATCGCGAAGAGCTGCCACTAGTTGAGACGTTCGCAGACACACTTCAGTAAACCTGTTCACGCAATTAAATCTTTAGTTATAAATTTTAAATTAAAATACTGCTTCAATGTATCTCGACTGTAAATTATTTTACTTTAATCAAAGAAAAATGTTCGTAACTTAATTGCTACGATTAGCATGTTTATGATTATCCTGGCCACTTTACATTTTTGTTGCAGAATTGATATATATTTATACATGCGTATAAATATAATTATAAAAAAATATTTCTATCTTGAATCAAACCAATAAATAACGCTTATGATTAATATGTTTACGAGCATTACTGGTTACTAGATTTCCTTCTCAAGTCTTCTTTTGCCGTAAACAGTTTCTTTATATACATATAAACAAATCTCACCGCATCTTGAAGTGAACCAATTAAACTCGAATATTACAAGTCGCTAACTCAATTGACGTGTACATTTTCTTTATCTAAAAATGAAATCTAATCCAACCTTTCGGTGCTGGGCATCGCGTAAGAGGCCAGAGTCTCCGCCATCCAGCCTCTGGTAGCTGCCAGGTCGCGATTTTCTCCGCCGCATCCGGTGATCAGGATCCTCAGCGGCAGGCTGTAGTAGTCGATGGTGGGCCTACCGAGGCGGGAGCTCGTCGAGTCGACGTAAAAGGTGAAGACGCGCGGGTACTGGAGTCCGTCGCAGCTCAGCGTCCTCGCCAGGGTCACGCGACCCGAGTGCGGATGCACTTTGAGGAGCTTCCGGGCGAACCAGGCGGTGCGTTCGCTCGAAGCCTCGTACTTCCGCCGACCGCCCAGCTGCGGCACCCCGGCCTCGAAGACGACGGCGCCGACGGGCGTGCTGGACGGCAGCACCGCCAGGTAACCGTCGCCCAGCGTCCAGACGGTCGTCAGGATCAGCAACGTCCATCCCCACCGCGCCATCCTGGCCGCTGGCACTTAATCCACGCGATCCTGCAGTCTGCTCTGTCCTCTCCCTGACGCCTGTTCCGTTGCGTCAGGATCCATCTGCGGAAGGATAAATCGACGTCGAATTCTCTATCAACGAGAGATCAATGAATTTAAATTCGTTTGAGAATTTATCATCGCGATTAAAATTGGCAAACATAATTAATCTTGTTCCTTATGGCTGTAATTATAAACTAATTTAACTAAACTAATTTTTTTAATAATAAGAATATATTGGAGCAGTGTTAATATTATATTGGAAATAAAAAAGGATAATATGATACAAAAATATATGAAAAATTTATTTAATTAATTTATTGGTTTTCATATATTTTTAAATTTTTATCATCTTATCCTTTATCCCGAATAATAAATTAATTTAATAGAATTAATTTATTATTTTTAATATATTTTTATTATTTATTTTATTTATTATATATTATTTATTATATTTTATTATATATTATTTAAAATTAATAAAATAATATATATTCTTTCTAATTGGAATATAAAATTTAATTTTTTAAAACAAAGACATGTCTATGTAACTTCAAGTAAAATTAAAAATAATTTTTTATTTTAATATCTGTGCTGCTTTTCTGTACATTAATATAAAATGGCAATAATGATTAGAAACGCAATGAATACAATTAAAAATTCAATATTGCTTGGCGAAAGCCATGTTGAATTGTGATACTAATAGAATCGTGAATGGAACAAAGAAGACCTCAATTCGCCTAAAATAGAAAAGGTAAATTTCTCATTTTATTAGCACGGCGAGGATAATCTTGTCGCTTGTTTAATATAAGCAGCTTCGAGATGACAGTTCTTCGAGCTCCTTAAGACCTTAAATAAGAACAAGACCGAAGGAGATGATAGTAATCGGGGGAGGCGAGTGGAAGCGTGTAAATCCCACGTGGATCTCTTCTCGTCCTCTCTTCTCGCGCGTTCAACTCGCCCCGAGAAAACGCTCGGATCTCCGATATAAGGACAAGAGGCCGAGAGTCTCGTTCTTTCTTTCGCTTCGCGGGTTTAATCGCTCTCTCGACCGAGTACTCGTAATCGTCGAACAGCGATTTTCGAGATGCACGAGGTTCTCTCCCCTTTTCGTCTTGAGAATAGCGACCTTTCTGCCATAGTGCGGCGCGCAAAACGTGGGAAACCAACTACTTCCGGCCGTGCCCTAAGCGCGAAGAGACGCTGAAAACATCGGCTCACGTCGTGAGATTCCTTGACCTGCCCCCTTACGTTACACGCGTGTTCACTCACGCGCTTACATCGCGCCTCGAATCGCCACGAAAGTACATAACTTCCCTCGATCGCGTTTCTTCACGCTCGGCTTCCGCGCGCGATCGCGAGAAAGCGATCGCGAGCAACGGGATCCATTAGAGAAGAAATCGTAAAAATTTCTCTGATCGAAAAAACCATGAACGAGAGAGATTCTAATTCAATTCGAATTCCACTAAGCGCAGTCTAATTAGATATCGCGTCATTGTAAGTCTCATTTACCGTTTTCGTTACATTGCATACGGTCCGAGAATCTCCAAGATGTGTAACGCTCGAGTAAAGTACAAACGTTAATGGGCGTCCTTGACATCTAACTTTGCGGAACAATGGCAGTTATAATATGCAGGAATGCGACGTCCGCTGTCACGCTCCGGAGAAACGGAAGATTTCTATCTTCAATTTATCATGATTCTCGTTGCACATCTGCCTGCTTATATACGCAAAACAAATCTCGTTCTACTCTTTTAGAGATATGATTCTTTTGTTGAAAACAACATGATAATTTCTTTAATTATAACAATTTTTGCATTGTTTGAGAAAAAATTTCTCTCTCGTTACATTATTCAGTTCAGCTTAGCTTTATATTTTCAACAGATGAAAAATAATTCACTTTATCGCTTAAAACATGCCAAGTTGTGCAAATTTTTAGTAAGAATTTTCCGGTGAAACAAACATGACATCCTTCCATTCGATGTTAATAAAAGGAAATGATCATAAGAAGGATACGGAAATATCGCTTGTAATTTTATTCGTAGATATAACACCAAATAAAATTTAATATTTAATTTAATTTAAGAGATTCGATTCTGAAAGCTTTCAATTTCGGAGCAAGAATTCTTTCTAAAGAGATAATCATAAAAAAATCTCCGCTCGTTGCGCGCGAATAATTGCGACAAAAAAAAAACCGATGGAAGAATCGAACGCGAGGAAAAAAAAACGGAAGAGAAATCATACATGGAAGGTGCCGTTAGATTTTTTGAATGCGGCATTTAAGATGTCTCAATCAGAAGAGGTTTGACGTAAGACTTCCAAACGAGGAGCAGCGCTCGTTGACGTTCGCACAATAAACACAAGCAGACTGATTCATGTACTCGTCGCGACTCTCGAGACTCGATTTTGTATCGCGTCTTTTGATCCATGACTCCGGTAACAGGTATCCACAAACCGCATCTCGTTTGAATCGACTTACTGCTACCGGGTACGGGATGTTAACGCGATGACTTTTTAAGCCCACTGCGACGAGGAAATGTTTCCCTGAGAAAATGATTCGCCGTTTGATCGATCATATACAGACGACTTTTTAGACCGCAAGCTGGATAAGAAATTAAAAACATGCACATTTGCTTTTATATAATATATACATAATCTTTTCGATATAAAATATTCATAAAATTTAATTTTTTAATTAATTATCTTATAAGCTAATATAATTTTTAAAAATCAATTTTTTTATTACATTAATATTATCAATTGTACATGTCAATTGTTGATAATTCATTTTAAAAAGAAAAAGAAAAATAAAAGATTATAATTTTTATTTTTATAATCGTAATGTGTAGATTAGACTTTGTGAGATGTACACAAGAGCAGTATCTCCCTCTTAAAATCGTAGCTTTAAGACGATTTGGAAATAAGCTCCTCTCTAACTGTCAACTCAATTTCGAATTACGCCACCGACTAATCTCTCTATTGAACGCTGCTAAATCCAACGTAAGCGCGAGAGATGGAATATTCAAATGGCGAAATTGTGCGTGCAGAAACTCGCGTGTAGTCGAGAAACTTTAGTCCGCGCGACGATGCATAGCCACAATCCAAGATGCATCCGCGGATGTATCCTTCTTACCGCGAGATTATTCCGCTCGGCCGATCTCTCGAGATCGTGGCGGCTAGAATCGACCGTTCGTGCCGAAGGCCCGATATTTACCTCGCCACGTACAAGTCCGGCCGATCGTCCTCTTGGTCGCCCGAGGGCATCTAGCCCGATCCGGTTCTTGCCAATCCGCACGAACCAATCGAACCCGGGGCCCCCGTCGCGACGGTTGGAGGTCTTATCCTCGCGAGAAACGAGGGAGACAGAGAGAGAGAGAAGCAGGAACGCCACGTTAAATTATACGCTCGGCGACTCGAGTTTTCCGCTTGAAAATCGAGACATCTCCAAGTAATATTAACTTGGATTTAAAGTCGAGGAGAATCTTTCATCGTCGCGCAGGTAAAAGATATTACAATTATTGAGATAAGAATAAATTTCCTTGCCAAGCGACACGGAAAGGGAGAATAAAATCCTAACTTGTCCTAATCTTATATAAGACTTGTTTATCTAAATTATATAGTGCTCTACACAAAATGATGGTTTCCTGCATTAATTTTCCGCTAGATTTTCGAGAAGCCTTCATAGACGCATTTCTGTGATTGTCTTTCGTTAAAGGCTTCCTGATAATGTTATATCTCCGTGAAATATTAAAATAAAATTAATTAATTCTAAAATAATAAAATAAATTAATATATTATAAATAAATAAAATAAATAAATAAATAAATAATTAATACAAATTAATAAAATAAATTAAAATACAGAAATTTTCATGGCTTTCAAAAGAGAGTTACCTTTCGACCGTTCACCCTTGTCTTATTTTAAAGTCTTATAATTATTTATGCGCGACAGGAATCTCATTCATATATAATTCCGATGATAATTTTACGATCGAAAATAAAGTTTTATTCCGATGAATAAATTACTCTTGAGATGAGCGAGGGACGATTTCTCCGATGTTTTGGGCAAAATGTACACGCAAAGTTATCTTAATCGTGAGGGTAGGTTTTTTCAGGTCGTCCCGAAGGATGGGTTATTTCGTTATTAAATGAAGCTGACTGGTCCACTGTTGGAACTATTAATTATTTTGAGAGGAGAGTCCCGAGACTCTCGCCCTCTCGATCTCTGGAATCCGGTCCCGACAATTATCTCGTGTCTTCCCTCGCGGATGCTCTTCAGGGCCCTCGAACGGGCCCCGAAACGCTTGTATCGGTCAAACGCTGTTTCGGTGAAACAATCGCAACCTGTTATCTCGAACAAAATTACTGGCGGAAGAAACGGCGCGATTTCACTCTTTTAATAGAGACATATAAGCGAGATATAAGTGATCGTTCTTACGGACGTTTATGCGATTGCCGGAGTCGCCGAGACTAGGACTACCGAACATACTTGACCCATAAGAGCCCATAAAAGCTTCGACATCGTTCCCTAATCGGCTCCCTCTCGAAATCGACTAGATTTTTATTACGAAATCTATAAATTTTATGATCTTAGAAAATATTTTACTCCTATTTTAATTCTAATTTTTTTAATCGAATATCTTTGAAATGTATTTTGTAGAAATATTTTATAACTGAGTTTCTTTTTAAATATTGAAAACTCGAATCTCCGCTTTTGAAAATTTTATCGCCATTCTTTAATCAGCTATTTTTAAAACACTTTAGCTAAACTTTTACCATGGAATATATTTATGAAAAATAAAATTACAAGATTAATCTCCATATTCAAATTAAAAAATCATGTAAAAATAAATATCATGCCACAGTAAAATTTTGTATATTGTGAAAAGAATATTTTATTTAAAAATAAATATAAAATAAATTTAAAAAATGTATCGTTGTTACATATTCAGGAGATTAATAAAATTTCGCTTTCTAAAATTCTGTCACTTTTCCTCTCATTTCTTTTTAAAGCAGGATCTTAAATATATATGAGACATCCTACAGAGAATACAAATCATCTATTTGTACGTATCTGAAATTGAGAACGTATAAACAACCATTATGAGGAGCCTTGGTAGAGGAACCCCGCTGTTTCTACGACTCCGAAGGAATCGGTTCCGTTACGCGGAGAGAGAAGAGAGAGAGGAGTAGGACAGTAAGATACAGTTCGATATCATTCGATAGAAACTCATCGAACGATCACAGATTTATGGATCGGAATACCTTCTACCGTGGAATGCGACGCGGAAGCTCTCGGAGCGCGCATCCTCTTGAAGAGACAACCTCCTCCATCACGAATCTCGCGTTCCTCGATTAACGATATTCTCGCGAAGGACACAGACACACGCCCTTCCCGGATCGAAATTTCGCTCTCGAAGTTATACATCCCATGTAATATACCTTGAACGCAACCTCGTGTTGCAGACCTTCGTTCGGGCCGCATCTCATTATGGTTACGCGAACGGGCAGGCAAAGTAAGGATCGGTAAGAATCGGCCCGGTGATTATTTCGACGAAGAAAAAGTCCCGGACGACTCTGATGAATCGCCAGAGGCGTCCTCCTCCTGGAGGCCGGTGTCAGCGACTCTTTTCTCTCCTCCTTCTCCCTCTCATCTCGTTCGTTTGCCCTTCTCTCCTTTTCTCTCTCTCCCTCTCCCGTTCTCTGTTTTTCTTCTCCTGCCAACTTTCTTCTGCAACCACCGGCTGGGTTGGTCCGATAAACGCGAACACGCGAGGGACGGCCCAGCCGCGCGGCTATTACAATAACCGGTGTAGATACGCGGTTCCTGCTCAAGGTTGCGACGCGAACGATCCTCGAGAAGAGGAAAGGAGAGGAGAGAAAAGGAGACTCTCGAGGATTTCCATTCTTTCGACGAGGGTCCTTCTCGGAGCGAGTTTAGCGAGCGAATGGAGCGCGTTAGAAACTAAGCGATGCTGAAGAGAAAAAGGTGGACGTCTTGGGAGCATCACGTAATCTGCTGCACTTGACGCGTCGCTTGTGTGTCATGTATCGCGTCGGAATGCGTAATATTAGTTTTCTGGAATTTCTCTTCTGGAGATTATGATGCACGGTATTAAATAATGGCGGAGAAAATATGTATAATGCCGAGGAAAAGAAGAGAAAAAAAGGTGTGACAATTTTTAAAATCGCCCTCGATGCATTTTGAAAGTCCGTAGAAATATGCAAGTCTTCTTGAATTTTTTTTTTTCACTTCTATTCACATTATAATTAGTCGATCGATACAGGAGATATGCGCGAGAGAGTAGAAGAAAAAAGTGAAAAGATTCTGTCTCTCGAGAGAGAGAGTCACGCAATCGAGCGTGTTGGCGTATCAAATACGTCGCTTACTCATTTATTCAATTTGTTGAACCATGTAAATCAGTGTTAATTGCCTTTTCTCACTTTTTACACGTTAAATAATTTGTCATTGAATCAGTGCGTTTAATTTCGAATAAATCCAGATTACCTTAACTGTATGAATATTTTCTGCGATTATTCATTTTCCTCGAATAAATCCAGATTACCTTAACTACTCGAATATTTTCTGCGATTATTCATTTTCTTCAAATAAATCCAGGTTACCTTAATTACTCGAATATTTTTCGCGATTATTCATTTACTTCGAAATCGACCTGCGTGTTCGGATTCACTTTGTGGCTTTAATTAAGGCAGAATCGCGAGGATTTTCCAGCTGCGATCATTCGGCTTCCAGCAGCGAGACTAATTCGCCGACTTTGCTGAGTGTTGCTCCGTTCATCGGAGTAGAAAACGTGCGAATGACGGCGAAGAAAAAGGGGACAAGGAAAAAGAACGACGTGATCGAGGCATGCGATGAGCGTCGCGTTCCTCTTCGCGGATATTCGCGGAGAGATCTCCTTATTTCTTCCACAATGCGCACCGTTATACGCGCGAACGCGAAACCATATTCGCGTAACGGTGAGGTCGGGTCGAAGAAAAGGGAGACAAAGAGAAAATATTCCGCGCTATTCCGCTCGCGCTTCTTGCATAGGTAGCCAGGTAGAAAATAAGCGCGTCATCACGGATTTACCTGGATAAGGATGAACGAACCGCGGGGTCCCTCGAGATCACGATTAGAGTAACATCTGTTCTCTATCTTCCGCGCGTTACTTCATTAAATTCTGCGTTTCTCATAATTTCCTAAATATAATTACATGCAAAAAAATTTTATTCGTATACAAAGATATGTTTATCTTCGCAATCAATCTCATTGGAATTGGAAATTAATCGGAGTTTATAGACGATTTAGATAATGTATCTCTGCGATATGACTGTCGAAGAATTTTTATATTCCTCGGAAGGAGAGAAACTGGTTTTTTTATTGCCATCTCTTAAAAAACCGATGATGTTTTTCGATCAAATCGACAAGATCTATGCGTACGGATATACTACATACGATTTCGATCCGTATCGAGAGGATCGTCGATCTCCCCTCGAAAGAGCCGCGGGTTCCCAAAGCGCCGCGCATTGCAACGAAGATGCCGGGCGTGGATAAGGACTCGACGGAAGAGAGCCCTCGATTTTATGGAACCTGTTCCCACCGTGAGTAACCGTGCGCGTCCCCTCGCCAACGGGTTTACTTGAACGCATACGCTTTATGCGTATACGCTTCACGCTCCTGCGCGCGGAGCCTGCTCGTAAATTAACGTCGTTCGCTCCTATAACGACCGACTGGACCGGGAAATCCGAAAATCCGATGACAGTGTCTCAATTAAAGACACTGCACGTATCAATCGCGCGACGAAATCTGAATGAATTTAAAATCGGAATATTGTACAGAGAATTTTGCAGTTGATTTTATGTTCCCCCAAAAAAAAGAAAAATATAAAAAAATTTAGAAATTTAAAAATAAATATAGAAATATAAAAATTGAAAATATAAAAAAGATCATTATTTTTCTGTATCCTAAAAACTTTTCAATATATAATTCAAATAGAATTTAGCAACGTGAGATTATACTTTAATTTAAATTAGAACTTTATGTAAGGAAAATCTACTTCCAATTAGTCGAGAGAAAATTTTCCACAAGTTCAATATGTTAATTACGTCTTGCTTTCTATCATCATTGTTACTATCAAAATAACGGATTTCTTATGCTTCTTGTTTCTTACATAAAATATAATATAAAAAACAGAATGTAATATAAAAAATGTAATATAAAAAAATATAAAATAAATGTAATATAAAAAAATAAATGAAATAATATGAAAAAAATATAAAATGAATGTAATATAAAAAAATTAAAAAAAAATGGAAATATCGTCTCGCATTAATGCAAAATCAATTTTTAGAAGAGAGAGGGAAACGTGCGATTGTCACGTTGTAAAGTTAAAAATAAAATGAGGACGAATACTCGTATGAGAGATCTTACTCTCAACGAGAATCGACAAAACTTTCGTAACGAGGGCTGCCGACGCGATGCGAGATAAAAGGGGGCGAGAAAGAGAGAGGTCAGCAGCCGCCCCCTTTCGCTTCGCTCGTTCTCTCTCTCGGATAAGGGGTGAGTGACTCACGTTCCACCGGCCTCGACGTCGGGACGCGAACGCCTACCCTCCAAATATTGATTCGCTCGCCCGAGGAACGCACGCGTCGCAACGGGAGACTTTCTCCGCGACGCTTTCGTTATAGCACCCTTCGTTCTAGGTCTTCCACGAGTCCAATTTCCCTCGGGAGACGTAGAGCGTCTCTTCTCGAGGCGAAATCTTCTCGCGAAAACGCTTTATGGTTTTCGTTTCTCCTTTTTCGAAATTAAAAGATTTCGTTAATTAAAGGGATACCAACAGAAATGAAGTAAATCAAGTTGATCGTTTTTGTAGCTATTGTTTAAATGTAATGTATTTTATCTTGAGATATCTTGAGATAAACTTATTCTGCTTTAAAAAAATCAGCGAGACATTTTATTAAATATATTGTAATTTTTTCACATCAGATTTTCACATCATACAGATGTGAATATCTTATTTATTGTAAATTAGAGGTAAAGTGATTTAAATGCCCAAGATTTATGTTTTTGTACTTTTCAATGTATCATCTATTGTTCGTTAAGATGAATGTAATTTAGATAATACATGTGTAAAAAAAGTTTCTAAACAATAACAATGGAATAATAATATCACATTAAATTTCTTTCTACTTTGCAATGATAATATTCGTGAAATGAAAATATAAAACTTTATGCTTCTTTCTAAGCATCTATCGAATAAAAGTATCCTTCTAATTATATTCTTTCTTTAGTTAATTATATTTTTAATTTTTCTTTTTAAAATTTAGAGCAACTTTTAACTTTTATTTTCTCTTTTTCTTTTAGAATTTAGAATATGATAATAGATGATACATTTGTTTAAATTCAAATTATTGAAATATTTGCGAGAGTAATAACATAAACAAAACAAACTTCCGCTTCCGACATGGGAGAAAATAACCTTCAAAATTTGTATCTCTATTCTTTATATTTTATAAAAGACGCGTCAATCTCTCGCATATTTTCTCCTATTTGCGCGTTCTTAGATTTATAATATTCTTCTACAGCTCGCTTCTGATTGATATACAGCACATATTATCGATTGACAGCGCGCGTTTCTTCTCATAGACGGAGAAGCGGGAAGGAGATTCCTCCTCTCTGCCGAACCGGGATTCGATATCCGACGCGGCATCGGTGGCAATTAAAAGCGTCGCTTTTCCCGTGGGAAAGCGTCGACACGATCGGGGAACAAGAACGGGGGGGCGGAAGCGGCGCGAGAGGAGGAAGCTTCGCATTTACAAGAGGAGGAACAAGAAGCGCGGTAGCAGAGGTCACTCACCGTCACTCGCCAAGGTCGCCGTCGAATCCGTCACATCTCTCCTTCTCCCTCGCGAATCTACGATGTCGGGAATCCGATCGCCGATGCGTCACTGGCACTCACCGCGCAGTAGGTTTAAACGCGCGAGGGAAGATCGAAACAAAAAAATCACACCCGCCGCCAAAAAGTCGCACTACGCTGCGCGAAACGTACCACCTCACGTGACGTCGGCGTCGCGACTGCCGCTCCGCGCCGCCGCCGCCGCCGAGCGCGCGCCACCACACGTGCGCGTCGCTCGCCACCACACGTGCGCGACGCTCGCCACTACACGCGCACGTGAGCGGTCGCGTTGCGCGCGTGCGCGCGCTCTCACCTGTACGCGGACGGTGACGTACGCGTGACGTCCGGGGACCCCTCTCTCTCCAGTCGAATCTTTATATTTTCGTTTTTCAATAATCTTCATATACGCGTTCGTATTGTTATTGTATAATGTATATTGCTGTACGAATGTGATATTTGTGGAATTGTGTGTTGAATTTTTCTTTTTAGTATGAAGGTGTATCATTTGTATTCTTCTGATAATATACAAATAAAAAACAGATTGTTTTTATGTGTTGTACGCTCCTCTTTCTTCTCTTTCCCTATCTTATTTATTAGAAATTATTTATTGGGAAATAATTTATTAGAATAATTTATTAGAAGTTATTTATTAGAAAATTTTCTGAAACTTTTACGTTTCATTAATTTCGTATTTGTAATTAAATTTATAGCACGATTAATCTAATCCTATATATCTATCTATTTGCATCTCTAATTATATTGAATAATTGTGCAGTTACAGCTGTGACCTGATTTAATTAATTAATGTTTAATTCTCTTTTGGATTAAATCGGCAATTTTCTCATCGGGTCTGACACAGCCCAGTTTGACGTCGGCCCTGTCTACGTGTTATTCACTTGCGTACGTGTGCGTATGTATGAGCGTGCGTACGCGACGCGACTGTAACCGCCGGAGAATGACTACCTGTTCGGCGCGTCTCGTCGACTTCAATCAGTGATACGTTGCAATAGAGATGAAGCGAATCGCGCGAGAGGACAAAGTCGAGATTTAATTGTCGAGACATTTAATGTAGAAAATTAAGAAGAGAAATTGTTTCTTTAACTATTGCCTTTTCGTATGAAATTTTTATTTTAAATTAATAATTAAAAATTCGCGAATCAAGTTTGTGCATCTGTAATTTTGTGGCACCCTATATAAGTGAATTCTATCATCTGTATGTGTGAGTGTATGTGAGACACCTGCCGTTTTTTTAGACACATGTCGGTCTTGCCGTTTGTTTCGTAAGACTCGCATTGTAAGAACGATCTTGCAACTTGAGAATAATTGAGAAATATCGATTCAGAACAAACGTTGATTCGAAAGAGCGTATTTTACATTTGAATTTTAATAATGTTGGATTACGTAATCGTAAGAGAATCGACGTGATTCAATTTTTGAAAGAGAAAGGAACGGCCTTTGTCATCTCCTTAGGAGTTGACGCGTCGACGCACAGGGCGCGCCAGCTCGCCGACAATGGTATCTGATATTTTTTTTAACACCTACATATATAAAAATATTTATATATTTTACATAAAAAATATTTTTTTAAAAATTAAAATATTCTCATAATTTTCTGAAGCAATATTTTCATAATTTTCTCAAGTATCACAGCTAGTTTCAAGTTGATACGTATAATAATTACCGATTTGTGATATAAAAAAAGGATTAAAATAATTAACAATCTAAAAAATTTTTTTCTATCTTAATCCATCCACGAAAATTGAAATTTATTTATATATCGGATTTACTAGAGCTGGTTGATCGAAAGCGTGAAATTATCATCCTTGAGCATCGATCATCAAACATGTGTTATTAGTTCGAATCTTTCTTTTTTGGAGCATTTCTCGTTGAGAGCCTCGACTTGTCTTAATTAACCGATAACTTATCGAGTCGAAGAACCGGAATCGACGTTGGTCACGGAATATCGCGAGCGGAACAAGATACGGTCACAATATATGACGCGAAGTTAATTTATTATCGAGAATTAATGCCTCGAGGTAAAAAAAATCGGTTACTACGTAATTAGTATCATCGTCGCCTGTGAATAATTTTGAGCCGAATGGAGCTGGATCGTCGTCCTTCCATCCGGGAGTCCGTCTGTCCAAAATATGTAATCTGCGATTGTCCCGAACTACATTTGACGACCGATACACTTGAAAAATGTCGCGAAGTAGATGCGGATCGTACGATAGAGAAATTGCGACAACTCGTATCGGATCCCGTCACCAGTGATCACGTCGCGCGGATATCCCGACTCTTGTGTCATTATCTGCTCGAGATTGGCGACGAGGGCTATGTATCCTTTGATTTATGTATTGATCGATGTATTGAAAAGTAATCACGATGAAAAAATTTTTTAGGACAAAGACACTCGACTTATTAATTTTTAAAATTAAAAAATAAGTGGACATCAGTGCACTTGTTTTACAATATTAATTTAAAAATATAAGATTTTAATTTTATGATTTAAAAAATAATTATAAGTAAGTATATGATAAATATAGAAATTCGTGTAATTAATTAAAATATTGCAATATTTTAAATAATTTATTAAAAGATTTAAATGATTTATTCATTAAAAGATTTATTTTAAAAGATATATTTATTAAAAGATATGTAATGATATCTTTAACATGTGATATGATATTTTTTATCATTACAAAATATATCTTTTAATAATATATTCTTGCAATAAAGATACCATTTAAATGAGATATCATTTATATGAATAAGAAGATTTAGCAAAGATTAGTTTCCTGCAATATTGCTTTTATTTTAATTTCTCTCATCATAGTGACATGAATGTTACTCACTTGCGCTACATACCTCAATTCTTCCGACATTTCTCGAGCGTTTCCAAGTGCGTTTCCTTAAAGACACCTTTCAGCCAGTCAAGCACCTGTCGGCTGTAACAAAGGTACTAGAATTTCTAGCCTGGAAGTCCAGAGAAATCAACGACTATCGAGTGCATCTGGACCGGATGCTGCATTTGTGCAATCGACCACCATTATTGAAACGTACTTCCGAGAGTCTTATTAGCTTCGCCATCGTGGAACACTATTTCACGACGCTGGGTTATCTCCTGATAATCTTACCCAGCGAAGAAAAGATTCAGAAAATCCACGAGGCTCTTGATTGCTTATTAATCGAACGAAAGAAAGTAACAAATGTAGCGGCGATAAAATTGGATCTCCGTCGACGCGCCATGGAAAGTTCCAAATTACCAATCATCATCGTCGAATTACTGGGGGCTGCTTTGACAAAAATGTACCCCAAAATCTTGGAATTGATCTTCATACTTGCCTCGATCTCTTCCCAATGTTGTGAGTAATTGAAATATTGAGATATATTATATATTAGAAAAGATTATAGAAAAAATGTAAATTTAATTCAATTTCAATTTAATCCAATTAATCTTAAACATTTCGACTGTAGAGAAAATTATTTTTCAAAAATTTTTAATATAAACCACTACCAAGGACAAAAAAAAATTTCTAGCGCAACAATTTAATAAATTATCATATTTGCATATCAAATTCGTTCAAATATTATTCCAAAAAATAATATTTGAGTGTCAGGGCGAAATGAAAGTGGCATCCCTTGAAGCTTTCATTTTTTAAATAAAGGTTACAGAATGCTTGAAGCCGGCATACTGAATACGCTACTTACCAGAATGGATCTTCCATATGCGACGCAGCTGCGCTGTACCAGACCTCCGGACATGCCGATCGAAGGAGAGGAATATCCGAAGGACACCATGCTCCTGAAAATGAAATTGTTATGGAGTCTCATGAGATCGATATTGCCTCCGAAAAAGCTACCGGAAAATCTGAAAAATCTCTCTTCGCCCAAGCTATGCGCCATGTGGTATTATTTATTTATGAATAATAAACAAATTAAAATATGACAAGTCTAATTATAAAGTGCATTTTTTATTTCTTACAGCTTGAATATTATTTATTAATTATTTCATTAAACAATTAATAAACAAATTAAAATATGACAAGTCTAACTATAAAGTGCATCTTTTATTCTTTAAAGCTTGAATATTATTTATTAATTAGTTTTGATTAAACAATTAATAATACTCAAGCTTTAAGAAATAAAAATATACATTATATATTTCTTTATGTCATTCAATTTGTTTATATTTATATCTATTCCCGAGATAAAGTGTACGATCTTTGACGCAGTACAGGGGCTTAAGATACTCTTTCAAGCGGCAAATACTTTACGGCCAATATTGCGCTGTCAATATGAAAATTAGGAACGATATCGCCGCGTTGATCCTCGCTGGGATCGTGGCTCTACCATCGTGGAATCTCATTAGCAGCGGTATCGCGGAAGATATTATCGAACTTTTATCTGCGATCGGATCTGGCATTATTAAGATATGGACGGAAGATGTCAAGTTCTCTGACAGCGATGAGGATCTCTTTTTCAAGAGAACCTTGCTGATGATCATCGCTTATCTCGCCGACATCGACATTTATGTTTTCGTAAGTTGTCTTCTCAATTTTGTTTTGTAAATTTTTAATTATGTCATAATAAACAAGGTTAAAAAATATAAAAATTAAAAAGATAACAATTATTTTTAGCCCTAAAGCTTATTGTGTTTTTTCTAATATTATGTTTGAAATTAATTTTCAATGTTTAATTAAAGTTTAACAAGAAAATAAATTACTTAAATTTCAAGAGATCAATAAACAGATCTTCAACTTATTAGGTGATGAAGAAAATGATGATTATGCCGATTCTCCTTCAAATCATTAAAGCCTACATGAGGAGCAAAAAGAATAAAGGCTCTTCTTTATCGTTGATTCTATTGGAACACGCGTTGCATATCTTATCATTGTTGGCGCCACGAATGAAAGAAGAATTTGTAAAATGCAAAAGCACACTCACGTAAAAAAAAAAACAAAAGTAAATGAGAATTTAACACGAAATAAAATAAAAATAGATTTAAATATCTAGATTATTGGCGATACTTGAGCAAGTTTTGAATACGGAATTCAATGAGCATCTTGCAATGATTATTATAAGAACAATCTGTTCGATAACTCTGCAAGGCGATGCTCTTCTACTAGAGGACTTTCGGAAATTTGAAATGATACCATTATTAATCAGTAAGATATATGTAAAATATATCAATATATTTAATTATATCAGAAAAATTCCTTCCATTTTTTTGAGAATCTTTAATGAAATATAATATATAAAGTATTATTTCGTTAAAGATTATTGTGAAAAGTCAAAATAAATTACATACACATATTCTCTTTTCCAAATTTCAGGCTTAATCAATAATATACTAGGTTTAAGTAAATTCACGATGACGAGGCAACGAATTTTAACGTTACTGCTGATCGCTCTAGAGAATCTCGTCAAAAAACAGACATCTGTTCAGCAGATGTACGGAAAGCAAAGTGTCGATTTCGTAATGGAAATCTTTGCAAGATGTTTGTATAAAGAAAACGAAAATTTCCAAGTGGATCAACGGTACGCAACATATAATTCGTAAATATTTGTTGTTTTAATTATTTGTTTGTTTTTTGTATTAATCCAATAATTGAATTATGAAATGTACTTTGGAAATCTAAATAATATTTCAAACATTGCAAAATTAAAAAAAAATAAAATTAAAAGAATTTTACATATATCATAATAAGTATGTTTTATTTATCTTTTTTTCTATTTTCCATTTTATATAATAAAATAAAAATTAAGAATTCATGTAATAAAATAAAAAATAGAAGGAAATAGATAAATAAAATATATTTATAGGAATATATTTATTAGATATCTAATAAATTTCTCATTACATTATTTTTTTCTCCGACAGACTTTTGTTAGCAATAGGCTCCTACGTTTGGGAATGCATGGCACGATGTCCCATAAATCTTCAGATTTTTCTCAAGAGTGGCGGATTGTATTCTATGTTGGACATCATCGAGATCGCGAGCTATCCCGTGAGATGTTTGTATCTCGGTGCGCTGACTGACATGTGCGATTGCACCTTCTGTGGACCGTGTCTTTGCACCTGGAGAGGTGCCGATAAGAAGACAGGATTAATGTCTTTGCTCGCGATCGTCTGGCGAGAGGAGGAAGATAGAATCGGCATCAAAAGACGCGCCGATGGTTCGATAACAGGTGCAATTTCGCGAATCAAAAGCTCACATTTGATATGAAATCTTCTTCAAAGAATTGCAATTTAATTAATCACTTTCCTTTTGTTAATAAAATTAATGAAATAAATTTTTGATAACTTTGAGGAAGTTTAGTTCAACCTACTTGTGCACAGATCTATTTTTTAATATAATTTTGCAAGAATTAATTTGAAGAAGTAAAATTGCTTACATTTCTGTAACTATAGATTAAATTAACTCTCACATTTGCAATTTCAGATTCTGAATTACCTCAAATGGGCACTAAGCAATGGACAGATACTTATCGTTCACAGCTCACGGCAGATGCCAGTCCCACTATAATCGACATGATCGGTTCAGTGCGATCAAAGATTTTCAGTATTGTGAAAATCATCGAGAAAGATGATGATAAATATGAAATTGCTAAAAAGCATTACAAGATCCTGCTTCACGAATTACCAATAAAAGATCGCGTAAGATCAAGTATCTCTTTCAGATAAAGATTCGTTTATTAAAAAATAAAATAAACGATCATAATATTTATCAAATTAAATAACTCGCATTAAAATCACTGAGCAAAGAAAAATAAAACAGCATTGATTTCTAAAGTTTAAAATACGAGTCGTCAGCTTTTGATTTTTAATTAAAGTAATGTTTCTCACATTCTTATCTTAAACTCTATAATATTGAAATAATCAAGTCCTGAATTTTTTCAGGTAACTTTATGCTGCGTCGACATGTACCTGCGACTGAAGCTGGGTCAAATGTGGACAGAGCTCAGCAGATATTTGCAGCAGGTCGGAATCACGCCTTTAAGCGTGGATGGGCATCTAATCGCTCACATGGTGCACTGGCACCGTTCCTGGGGTATACTAATCGAGGAGCGACAAAGGAAGCTGATCGCGGCTGTTAAACATGCGGATGAAATCGTGGAGAGGGACGAGCTCGCGAGGATACGCGACTCCAAGTTGGCGGCGACCTTGGATGCATTGAACGAGGTCGATCGTATTCGTCGCACAGCTGATAGATCATACATGCTGCGTAAGAAGGACCGTCAGAGGCGACAAGTTAACGCTGCCTTGTCGTTTCCACGCGACGCCGACGTCGAACGATGTCACCGAACGTTTTCGGATAAAACGAACGTCACGGTAAAATTACTGATATCAATCACTCCGAGAGATATATATTAGTACTAAAATATAGTGTAATCATATAACATAAATTTTTTAGATTTTTAATTTTTATTCGCAATAGCTTCTTCTGTCAAACTGTCAGAACTGTCAAAATCTGAAATTTTAATTTAGAATGTTTTTGATGAAATAAGTTGTGTGTTAAGAGATAGATTCATAATATTTTTGATACTTGCGTACCTGATTGAAGATAATCGATTTAAAATTTTCGATCATACATAATTAATTTTTCTTTCAAATTAAAATAAAATTACAAGAAAATGTAATTTAATTTATTTATATGGACTTTTACTTATTTTTTTACGATATTCTTTTTCAGGTTGTTCTCGGACAACATCAATCAATCGACAGCTCGCACCTGGAAGGTTCACGTGACTTTGCGGAGTTACCCCTCGTGTCACCCCCTGATTCACTTCGCGAAGAAACCTTTTCTTCGTTCGACGCTGCTTCGAATGACTCTTACTTTTATGAATGTCAGCTCGCAAAGGAGTACCTTATCGAGAATCTAAATCGATAATCTTCATATTTATATTAAAAAAAATTCGATTAAAAAATATTATATTAAAAAGACACAAAGCTAAAGAATTAATTACAAAAATTATATTTTCTTCCTGTTCTTGTGACAAGCGAAACAATATTATCTTGCTACGATAGAGCAGTTGTCCACCTTGTCGACAAGAATCTATTGTCAAGAGAATTTCACCTTTTGACAGTATAATTAATCTAGCAAACTTCGATCTATATTCTAAATAAACGAGATTTGAATTCGAGAAAAGAAACAGTCTACTATTATTATAAATATAGCCATTATTTCATCTATATTATTTTATCTATTATTAAAATATTACTAAAATATAACGTTTATTATTACATTTCCTCGTCGTTCAATTTCAATCATTTTCATCTTTTAATGAAAAAAAATTCGTTTCACGCCAAAATATCATCGTTCGACAGCCCGATTCAAAATATGCGTTCGGATTTCGCGGGCGAAAACGCACGACTCGTCCGGTTATCTGGCGACAGGAGCGTTCATCTAGATGACCATCTAGATAATCTGGCGGCCTCGTCCGGGAGGGTGGGCGAGAGAGCGATTGGCGAACGCGGCGAACGAGAGCGGCTAGTGAGAGCGAGCATGCCGTTCGCGTCGCAAGCGAATGCTACCGCCGTCGCCATCGTCGTCGCCGTCGCCGTGATACGCCGTCCGATGGTACCGGTTTAAAAGCTAGACGGACCCGACCAGCTCTAAAGCTTCTCACGCCTCTCGGAGAGACACGGCTGGCTCTTTCGCTCGCTGGCGTCAGTGCATCGCGCGCCGCCGTCGCGAAAGCGCACGTTTTCGCTTCGCTTTTAAGGCCCCGATAGATCCCGAGCGACAGCTCGGCAGGATCTTTTTTTTTCCTTTCGGAGCAGCCTCCGTCGTTTCGGAGCAACCTCTCTCGCGCGAGAGGCGACATCGCTAACCCGCTCGCGCGGCGGCGCATTCTCGTCCCTTTCTCTGGCCCCTTCTCTCGCGAATCTCTAGTCACCCCGGACTATCCCTGTCTTCTTCCTTCCGTCCGGTTCTCCCTTTGCCACCCGCGCCTTTGTCCGTCTCTCTCTCTCTGTCCTTTTTCCCCCTTGATCGCCGTCGTCGTCGTGAGCACGCGCGCGCTCTAGTCGCTTCTTATTGAAGAAGCTCGTGTAAGTTTCACGTGAAGCCCTTCGCAAAGAGCCGGAGAGAGAGAGAGAGAGAAAGAGAGAGATCCTCATCATCATCATTGACGCAGCCATGGCGCGCGAGGAACATCGGTGGTGCTTCTTCCTTCATGGCGCGAACGGACGGCAAAGGCCGATGCGAGTTTCGCTGCTGCTGGTCGTCCTGTGTGCGCTTCTGGCTGGATCCTTGACGGTGGTCGCCCAGCACGGTGAGTGTGCAATTGTGCGCGCGCGTGTTGATTGCGCATGTATACAAATGTCATTTGCATATGTGCGCGAACGCGCCTTTCGATAACCTGTTGCGTATCACGGAGGATTCTTCTCGGAGCAGGCGGCGACTGTTCGCGAGAGAAAGAGAAAAGAAACGAGCGAACGAGAGAGAGAGAGAGAGATAGAGATAGAGAGAGAGAACGTTCATATCATGCTTCGAAACAAAATTCTTTTAAAATGAACTCTTGAGATGAAATTCCAACGGATTTTCGTACATGCTAGTGTAGGGCAAAAAAACGAAAGGTGCATTATCCAAAGGAGATACCTGAGACGGATACGACGGGCGAAGAGAGAGAAAGAAACGAGGAGAAAGGGGGAGGGGAGGCGAGAGAAAGGGAAAGAAAAAAAAACCTGGCTTGGTCTCTCTCGACAACTAACTACGCAATTCCCTGGCGACGTTTTGCCCGTAGTCGTCATCGCGCTGCACCGAAGCAACGGGACCAGGAACGCGCGAATCCCGTCTCGTCGGAATAAGGTCGCCTTCGCTCGCTCGCTCGCTCGCTCGCTCGTTCACGGCCGAAGGCGCCGAGCGATTGTATACGCTAGTCTGCAGGGATGAGATCGAACGTATCGATGAAAGCTTGCTAGAATATTCCATTCCGTTTGAGAAATAAATGAGGAAACGACAACTATTAAATCCCCCACGATCCTAAAGTAATAATAAATAAAAAATAAATAATAAATAAAAAATATAAATAAATAATAAATAAAAAGAAATCGCAGAGAATATATGTCTTAATTAACACGTTGGATAAGATTAATTAATATAATACTTTTGTTTTTTTTTTCAAGGACATATTGGAGGATATATATCAAGGATTTAAATAAATATTAGTTTGCTCGGCTTAATATCTTTTTTATCTCCTCGCAACAAAAGACAAGCTATGTTAGCCTTCTCCTTCTTCGACTGTGTATAATTCCATTGCGTCGCTTAACGCTGTTGCCTCGAGCCCTTCGATTTAATGAGCTGTTTTTCTTGAATTGAAATTACGAACGTCACGCGACACTTAATCGTCCCGTCATTAGAATGCATCAATTACTAATTGGAAGGATCATGCTTAAAAATGACTCTGCATTTTTTGAATTTTTCTCTCTCCTTCCCTCTCAGATAAAATTAACGTTATAATTATAATTATTATCCTGACATCGAGAGAATACGGAGAGATATGGAGGAAACGAAGAGAGGATGAAGGTGGAATTCTCTTGGCGATCTTGTACTCCGATTTTCGTTGGGAATAACGGTACGGTAAATTTGTGAGTGACAGCTTTCTCGGGGGAAGGGTTATCACGGGTCATCCCTCATATGCACACTGTTGACGCGCGTGGTTTAGTGATGTAAAATTGTTATGCTATTTACTCGGGACAGAGTCGTTTGCGATGCGCATCGTATTCTTTTATTGTCACAGCTGAAGTGACGATCGCAGAAATTACGACTTATTGTCGCTATCGTTGGAAAAAAAACTCCAACAACTGTTGATGTTATTGGAATCGTTGGCACTGTATCGGAATGTCAAGCGAACATCGTTCGATATCGTTTGTTGTTCCGTATGAGTCGTTATTCTGTAAGATTTCAAAATTTCTTATTCCGAATAAAATTCAAAATTTCATTTCATTTAAAATAGAAAATTGTTCGCCTAATATATACATATTTAGGCTGGTTTGGTGATTATTATGAAATTCTTCTTTCCAGGCGCACCTTTTTTCTAAATTAAATTTAAACTCTGATTTAAGCTAATTAAAAAAAAAATTAATATATTCGGAAATATTCATTAAATTTTATTAAATTGCCAAGTCATTGTCAAGGCAGAGCCGACAACCGACTCTGCGGTTGCATCATTTTTACACTGACATTTTTTCACCTTGACGAATGTTATTTAATGCTCGGACGTCAAGATATAAACTTCGATAAATTCTTTTTTTTTTCCATTTGTAATTGTGTTGTCATGCATATTGTGCACATAATTTTGTCGTTCGCAGATGGCTGCTGATATTTATAGACAAAGTCTGTCACGAACGAGAATATACTTCTTGAACATGAACGAAGTGAAAGAGAAGAGAAAAAAAAATGTTTCGTGACTGCAGCTCTAGAAAAATATATCATGTGCATTAAACATACGCGCGTTTATTAAATTCGTTGTTTATTTATATTGCTTTTGAAATCGTCAGATCAGAAATAACAAGATTATTTTTTCGTATCGTAAGCAATTTTCCAAGGACAAAACTTTCACGCAATTATACAATTACATAGATATTGCTTGCTCCACGTTAAATATTTTACAATCAGAAAATCGATAACGGGAAAGTATTTTACATGCGGTAAATACGATTGTATTCCGCAAGTATTATTACGCGGTGCAACAAGCTGCTGCATCCATAATGCATATGCTGGCGAAGTATTTTGCGGAAATCGATGGATTAGTCCGTAATATGACACAGCACGCCATGCTCGTGTCGCACCACGTACATCACACCAGCTACCGTTACACGTCCAGTAAAGTTACACAGCGAGGATCAGGTCTGTATTCCAATGTGTCTCTCTTATGTTGAATTTATCCCAAATTTCTGCGACTCGTTTCGCACCAAAAAATAAATAAAGAGAAACGAGACGTTTTCTTGTTAAATAGATAAATTATTTCGTAAAAAATTAAAGATATTCGTAAAAGAAAAAAATTCGTACAAGAAAAAAAAATTGATATAAAAGATATATTTTATATCGAATATTGGATTTTTCTCTCGTGCGATTTTGTTTGAGATATAAAAAAAACTAACGTGTTTTATACAGAATAAGTAAGCAAAAATAAAGGAGATTTGAGACATAAATCCGTCCCTGTTAAAAAGCAGTGCGTTGGGTCTTTTAATAATTCAGAAGGATGTACGTGACCCCTCAGCTGTTTGTTTTATCTCTACACATGCTGTGCTATATTATATTTGATTACTTATCGTACTGCGTTATTGCTGATAGTAGCGGTAGATCATGCATTTCGAGAGAGATATCGGAAAATAAAACGATAAGTTTAAATTGACTTTCGATTACACGATATCGATAAATTCATGTATATTAATTTGAATCGGTATTTACATGGAACGATTAGACAACAACTTATGTTAGATAACGCAATCAATTTAACTTTAAATCACTCCACTTCAACAGTAGTGAGATTAGGTTTTATATTTAGAATTCGTTAAGGAAGATTTTTATATCTAGAATTCATTAATCGATCTCCCCCCCCCCCCTCGTCTTTATTCGCCCGACACCCTGTAGAGCGCTTCAACAGCACGGCTCCAATTTGTGCCGGAGACTTGACTCACGCGAGGCTGCTTAATTCGCGAGATTAATTTCAACGAATGCGCGTCTCGACATTTAAAACTCCATCGAATACAATCGCAAAATTCGCTTCGTGATGTGACGAACAAGACGAAATATGAGAAAATTCCAATTTAGAGTGTAAAAAAAAATAATCACGCGTGTGATGGGAATTATTTGTGACGTTTGCCTCGTGATACTTAATTCGTTTAATAGGCGCAAGACAAGTCTCGTCCAGCTAAGTGCCTAATTAGATTTCACGTAATTCCACAGCGCGTTTTAATGCGCTTTCAATCCTGCCGAAGAGGACGCATTCTTAAAAGACAAACAAGCTATTTTCGACCTGATAATTTATGCGAAAACGTATGAACCGCGACTAACAGTTTTTGATTAAATTAAATTTCAAGTGTAGAATTCCACACGTGTATCGAAACGACGAACGAATGTGCATAAATTAAATCTTTTCAATTTTATACGAGCAAAATCACTTCCGTGTAACCATCCAATTATAATGTCGTCGGTTAGTCATAATTAATTTAATTATTCGTAATTAATACCTCTACTAATTGCTGAATTTTAAATTTAGATAAGGATAAGGAAACATGGTCTTCTTCCCCAAATTGTATGATTTTTAAAATCAAGAATACATTTTCAAGTTTTTACACAGGTTTGTGCGTTTCTCGCAATTCGTGTATCATTTCAATAATTCTGACAAATAAAAATTGACGATTATCCAGAATAAAAATCGTCTTTTTCAGAAAGAGTGTCCTTGGCTAGAATATTTTCTTTCTCGCACAAAAAGAATAAGGAAGAGAAATGTCATATTCAAGAATATGAAGGACAAACTTTCGTGCCACCCGATATTCTCGCGAAACGAAGCGCGGAAACGCTGCTAGTGTAGAAATTTGTCCTCGTAACAGTTAGCTTATTTCGCATGCATAATCTCGGCTCTTCCAGTACAACAACACGTCCATTAAATTCGACGTAACAGCACGTTCGAGATATGTTTCGGCCATTAACGAAAATTAGAGAGGGAGGGAGTAAATAAAAAAAAACGCAGTTACGAAAGTCTTACGCCGTAATTATTTCAGTTTCCAGCAGCATTTCTGGTTCTACTTTCCGTTTACATTACATATACGTTGCAATTATATGCGTCTTATTGGATTCTTCTAGGTTTCTCCTAACCACATGGCCCGACAATCGTGGTTTTTTTTCAACTTGTCATGCACATATAAATTATAGAAACATTAATTATAAAAACATTACTTATACATCGATTAAGATGTAAATGTACGATGTGTTTTTTAGAAGTTGTTTTCATATGAAGCGTAGATATTAAAGTTAAATCAAGTATGAGGAAGCTGTAAATACGCACCAATAATTATAAAAAAATTTAATTGAATAATAATTAAAAATTTTAATTCTAAAAAATGATAAAAACGCAAAAGAATTTTAAATATACAATTTTTGACAAATAAATAATAAAATAGTATATCTCTCTTTATATCTCTCTTTACTATGTTGGAAGGAACTATCAGAAGGTAGATCTTTGATGAAATTTTTGTACATGTATTTGTCGAGAAATATAAAATTATTATGATTTCGAAATAATAAAAATTTTGAAAGAGCCTCGAA